TAAAATAATGCTTCATTTGGATAAGGATTTATATTATGACACACATTAAACGTAGTTTCTTTCTTCAGACGTTTTAATAATTTTTAACATATTTTTTCCTGACTTTATTCTAGATCTTAATGGGATCTACAAAACAGAATACAGAGTTCAGTTTTTTTTTTATAGATTTAGTTCATTTGTTAGACCTATTCTATTGTGTTTATGTATTTGTCTTGGAATACAATAAGTTTGAAAACCATATTGACCCATAAAGAGTTACTAAAATATATATATAAATGTATTATTCAGTGTTAAAAATATACAAAGTAGATTTGAGTTGTAGATTGAGTTTGTTTTATCATTAATTAAATTTTATGATATGGATTATACATTATTATTACTGATAACTTACGGGTATCTCAGGTCCGGTGTCTATGGCCAGTTTGTTTGTTTCAGACGCTACTTCCGCGTTACCGATCAATGAATAATGGTATTCTTCACAATTCTTTTATATTCCTACGTGTTTATATACTTACATACTTATTTACTAAAATGTGAGAAAGATACAAAGTTAGGTTTTATGGAGATGGAACTACGATTAAAAGATTCTAGAAAGGAGATTTTGTAGTAATAAAAAAAAGATTTGTTATTTAGTTAACCAGAAAATAATTGAGAACGGTAGATATCTTGTAAAGAAAGTGATTTGACATCGAGGACGACTTCGGAAAGTGGCTCATGACTTGCTAGGAAAAGATCTATTCTTATTGCTAGGAAAAGACCTAATTACTAAAAGAGCAGCAAGCTGGACTATCACGAATTAACCTAAATTGACGACGACTCTTTAACTTCTTCTTCTTCTTCTATCTGGCAATTTCCCAGCTTTAGCCAGGGTCTGTCTCAACCACTAGGCCACCACTGACTGTTATTCTGATATTGAGTGATATAACTGAGATATTGAGTTTTGAGACGAAACATACGGAATTTTCCCATGGTGCGCCGTCATGTATATATTTATTTATTATAGTTCGGATTCGCATGCCAAATGCATCTGTAATATTTTTTATATTTGGTATTTTAAAGTTACATAGCTACGAAATACATATGTAGTACGTTTGAACGGAAAAAAATTTAACAAAATGAAATACGCTCATCGGATAATTATTAGATAGTTAAAGAGTCGTCGTCATATTAAACCTTATACTTTCACGTATATGTGTGGAAAATTACAGATCATTTAGTTTTGAAATAAATGAGATACGGAGTTTTGAGATGAAACATACGCGATTTTTCCGTAATGCACTTCGGAAAGCCCCATACAAAGCAGTCTCAAAACCGTTTCACGTGAAAGTCGATTCTATGGAGTAAAACTAATTAATTTATTTAGTCTTATAAATAAACTTTCTTTTATATATTTTTAAATTATTTTTTGCTAACCATAATGTATATAAAAAGGGCAAAGCTAACTCATGTTCAATAATGTGATTTTAGCACAATACATTAGGTATTACAAATTCAACGCCACATTACTCGAAAGGTTTTGATATAAATGTATAAGTATTATCCATTTTTGAAATGCTTGTAATCTCCTTATAACGTTTCTTAAATAGTGTTATGTATAATAAATTAATGAATTAAAATTTACCAATATATGTAGTTTAAGATGGTATACTTTTGGGGTTACTTTTTTTTAACTAGACTTACCCGTTTACCGCTGGTTGCCGATGTCGAGATATTAGTTGTATTACGATTTTTATACATTAGTTCAAATAAGGAGAAAGAAAAAGTGTGCATATATGCGCCTTTTCTGATACGGTGCCAAAACATATTTAAATATATTTATATTTATTTTTTAAATAAATTAGTAAACATAATTTTTAAAATTATTATTTTTTATATTAAACCTTATACTTTCACGTATATGTGAGCAAAATTACAGATTATTCAGTTTTGTTATAACTGTGATACTGAGTTTTGAGAAGAAACATACGGGATTTTCCCATAGCGCGTTGGTTAAAGGCTAAAAAATAAAAGATAATGAAATTAATTTTTTCTTCTTCTACCTGGCAATTTTTCCCAGCTTTAGCCAGGGTCTTACATGTTGTGAATAGTTTTTGACTAACTGTTTTAAGACCGTCCGTTTTCCTACCTGACATCAACCCCCTTTGGGAATGCATTAAACACCACACTCGTTCAAAACGGGTTGGTGATTGTAAACCTATAATTGTGAAATTATAAGTCCAGGTTTCCTCACGATGTTTTCCTTCACCGTCTGTCAGACGTCAGTGGTGTCTAAATACTCTCAGAAAGTACATATGGCTGGGAAAAATCACATTGGTACTTGCCAGGACCGAAACCGCGCCCTCATGCGTGAGAGGCGGGCCTTTTAACCACTACAATTTTATTATCACGCAACTAGAGGCAAATGAGCTTAATAATGACATTGCTAAAATATATGCGATTGGGCGCGATCTTCTTTATTAGATAAAATTATAGAAATAATAAGAGCTATTGGTTCCTTGTAGTGCCTCGGGAATTTCAGTGGGCTATAATTAACGATGTGCACGAAGGTGTCATGCACATAGGGTGGGAGAAAACACTAATAAAGACCTACTGCCGCTTCAGTCTCCCAAATTTGAACAACTACGTACTATAATTTGTAAAAAGTTGTATAACTTGCAATATGACAAAGTCACACTCGGGAAAAATTGAAGCTGAAGTACATTCAATCCCTAAAATTGCAGTTCCATAACATATCATATGGATGCAACACACAAAATTTACGGAAACAAGACTTACATAAAAGGATATGTTTTATTTCAATCGACGGTTTTGCTAAGTACAAAATATTATTTCATACACTGATTTTTAAGGCATTAAATTACAATGTGTCTTTGGTTGCTGACCCCCACGATATAGCTGATCAGAGTAGATGCTTTACTAGAAAAGAGTTTAGGAACTTTTGCAGTGCATACAATATTAACTTACACCTTATTGCTACCAGAACAAGTTGTGCAAACGAGAATGTAGGATAGTCGTGACAACTGTGGAAGGTAATTAGGTTTCGACAATTGTACTATTTATGAATGTGAAAACTGGCTAGCCTGTGTGGCAACGACTGGCATGTATGGCAACGACTGGCCTGTGTGGCAACGACTAGCCTGTATGGCAATGACAAGCCTGTGTTACACAGACTGATGTTAGTGATATATTTTTTGTGTCTTTTAAGAAACAATTTGATATATTTAGACTTACAATTTGTAACCTCTGAAAGTTGTTTTAAGAGCCAAGGAAGTCATTTAGACAGGGAAGGGAGACCGAGCGGAGTATACTGTAAATGACTTACAGATGAGAACTATACAGCGAGGTTGTGTAACACAATGCAGGATGGCCGTGATGGCGCGCTAATTTTGGATTAGTTTAATAATAGACGTACTGAGTAATTCAGTCGCTTTGTTTCCCGATTGGCCAGTCCCGAGCGGCCAGTCTCAAATGGGGTAGTGGGTGTCACTAAGAGTGGGGACGGCCATTATGCTATAGACGTCTCTCATATTATCACATCTATTTCGATAACCACAACTTTATTAAGCTATCTAGATTTACTGTCAAAGTACCTAGACTGAATAAGAACCTCTGTTGTTAAATAAAACATGCAACAAAGCAATGCAAGATACGACACGTTATCAGGCAGGTGCAGAGGACACACCGCTTGCAACAATGGCCGTATCGGCTTTATGAACATTAATGACGGATGCGTCATGAAAATAACTTGAGGTTGTCATTAATTATTATATACTAGTTTTTGCCCGCGACTTCGTCCGCGTTAGTTTCGTCATTAGTAATATATGTATAGCTGACCGGGCGAACTCTATTCCGTTTTAGAGGCCATTAATAATTAGGTTTCTCCTGTTTCAATCAAACAGAATGATTGACATATTAGTTAGTTGTCAAATATAATGTCAAAAAAAACTTTTGTATGGGAAATAGAAAAGGGCTGTTTTTATGGTTTTCCCAGTAATGAATCAATTTTTCTCACCTTTTAAACCTTCCCTGGACTTCCAGGAGTATTTCAAGACTAAAATTAGCCAAATCGGTTCAGCCGTTGTCAAGTTTTAGCGAGACTAAGGAACAGCAATCCATTTTTATATATATAGAAGATACTTATTGGTATTCATAATTGTTGTTAAAAGTAAAACAAAATCAAAGACTGTTTAAATGGAGAATAGAAATTAGGAATGTTGGAAATTTGGTAATTCGACGATTCGACGCACGACAGCCCGTGAGTATGGACAATTGAAGAATGTAAATACGAATAACCTTCGAGAAATAAAAGGATATTTAGATGAATTGAAGTTTCATTATGAAATATCATCGAAGGTGGTTACTGAAAGAAGTGACATTATTGACGTCACTGATGCGCACGTGTCTTTTTAAAAAAAACAAAGCATTTGTATTAATGCACCATAGCATTTGTATTTAAGCACCCATATATACAGGGTGACTGGTGAATTACTATCGATATTTGAGGACGTGATATTTGACGATCATATATGACAAAATAAAAATTAATATAACATAAATATTCATAAACTTCTGAGTAAAGTTAACCAAAAGTTATGTAATTAATTACGCATCGTATGAACACCCTACAGATTAGGTATACACACACACTCACACATACGCGCGCGGCGGCGTGTTGTTGTATCAGCACGCCGCCGCACGCGTCCACACTTGGAACGTGTACACACTTTATTTATTTATACGGAAATTTGGTCAAAAATTAAGTACCTATTTTTTTTAAATAATTCGAATGAGAATCATGTACCGAGTATGCTCCTTAAATATTGATCGTAATTCACCAGTCACCCTGTATATATAACACATAGCTAAGTCTTCTAAACATTTTTAAAGTTTTTTTGTTTTTTAAAATTATTCCACTTTATGTACGTCAAATGTGAAAGAAAGGAATGAATACAAAAAATATCTGGTTTGATTGTTTTTATTAATAAAAGCTTACTCATAAATTAATTAACTGCATTAGTCGCGATCCAATCTGCATAAGATGAAACGAGTACATTAACACCCGGATAAGTTGGATGAGCGCACTGGTATCCCCAGGAAGTAATTCCTACTAGAACATCTCCACCATGAATAACAGGTCCGCCGGAGTCGCCCTGGCAGGCGTCCTTGCCACCGACATCCAGAATACCAGTACACATCATCTCAGGAGTTACTCTTGGCCAGGATCCAGGTAAAGATTGGAAATATGAGTAGCGTTCAGCACAAAGACTTTGGTTGATGATGTTAACAGAAGCGTGCTGAAGTATTTCGGAAGGCTTTCCATTAAACTGAAAAAAAAAATTAAATTCAGATTTCGATAGTAACTATCTATATTATACAGATATAACCAGGTACTTTATCGTAACTTCCCTTGCTAATGTTAATTCATATATGATACTTACACTGGTAGTCCCCCAACCAATTACATTGAGAGGCGTATTGTCTGGTAAGATGTACTGCGGTCCAGCAATTCGTGCAATTTGAATTTGATTTGATAATGTTGCAGCGTTTTGAAGTCTGGTTACTGCAACGTCATTTAAAACTAAACGGAAATTATATTGTGGATGCATAATAATTCTAGAAAGTACGTGGACTTGTCCGCCAGACGAAGCATAGGTTGATCCCAATCGCACTCTCAACTCGGATGGCCTAAAGCCTCTGAAAGTATGTATTTAATGAGAAACAAAATATAAGCTCATAAGTATATAAGTCACAAGTTAATTTTTTGATAGTAATACAATGTCAATCAAACTTGGTTGTGTGTATCGTGTCACTGACTATTCAGTTAAAATAATAGAATATCTCTTACGCAAAGCAGTGAGCTGCTGAGACTACAGCTCTGTTAGTTATAAGAGTTCCACCACACATCTGTTCCGTTCCCCAGAAAGAACTTTCTAAGATACCAGACATGAAAGGATATCTTTCAATACTAGTATTTTCACCACCAACAATACGTTCTGGCTTCCTTGGTGCCGCTGTAATATTAAAGGTAGCAAAATTAATAACGTTTTAAATATAATTTTACTCATACAGTTAAAAGATAATAAATTACCATCCATTGAGAACTACATATAAGACAAAAAAAAAAGCAAAAAGATTTGAGATTAAAGATTTCATCCAAATATTTTGTGTTTTTGTATAATATTAAGGTTGCCTCACGTACGTAAGTTTATAACCCTGATTTTCTCATCTGTTAATCCATATGTATCTCCGTGATTACAAAATTAATGTAAGTTTTAGATTTGATGAAAAAGACAATAAATTTTCGTCTATAAGCGTTGATAATCTTCTAGCAATCCGAACAAATGTAACCAAACAGGCTGAGATGTTATGGAGGAGTGTAGGGAAGAAATATCAGTTCGCGATAATAGACGGTTCCATAGGAAACCAACATCCCAAAGACATTGCCATCAAGGTCAATCAGTACTACGAAACTACTAAAGATAAACAAATGTCAATATAAATTGTGGTAGTTGAATTGTTCGGTGTAGATTTTTATTGACGAGCAAATATAAACTGATATTTATCAAAAGAGGAAAAGATATATTTCTATTAATTTTTGTAAAATACAAAAAAGTAAATACAGAATTATTTTATTTATCAACCTGCTTCATTAATTGATTTTTGCCTTTCAATGACTCGTGTTTGTCAAATCATTGAGAAGCTAAGATCTAGTAGTTTCTTTTTCTTTAGCCCATTCATTTAAAGTTTTCTATTATTCTTAAGTACTATTTCTTTACTACATAGTTACTATTAAATATTTAATAATAGTACTATAAATTGCAATTCATTTTAAAGTTTTACCAATAATTGTTTTTTAGGAATAGGGTTAGGCGTTAATTCTCTTATTTATTTATTTTTTGAAATCAAGCTCTACATAATTAAATCTTTCGTGCTTACGGAGTAAAATTACGTACGGTTTTTAAGCAATCCAATTTCTTTGCTATATAAACTTACCACAAACGGCTCCAAGGGCAGCTAGCAGTATAAACACGCGCATCTTTCGTGATCTATTAAATTGAAAACATATTTTACGCGCTGTGTTTTTATAGAAAAACATGACATATCTGTAATTTTTGTTATCTTATTTTAATTTTTATCAATTATACATAGATCGTTAGAAAATTTTAATACATAACATATGTTTTAATATTTATATTTTTGTTTCATACCTGAATCATAATAAGGAAGTAATATTCAAGTACCTAATAAGTAAGTTTTATACTTCAAGTCAACTGAAAAACTATAAAAACTTAGTACAAACTTTAAACCAATCAAAATATATATATTAAAAACTACAACGAGTCTTACGGATCTGAAAATTGCCTTGAATTTTAAGGACAAATGTTCCAAAATTCGGTTTTTTACATTTTCCAGTTTAAGCGGTTGATTTATTAATAAAACCTATGATTAAAAAATTTTTCATTACATAATTATTTACATATAAGACTTGTTCGTATACTTTTCCCTAAGAATTCCCATATACATATTTATATTGCGAAGCAAAAAGTTTACAAAGTTGTGTTCTTCCTAAAATTCATATGTTTCCTCGCGACCCGTGATGTAGAGCACTTTTTACTTTTTCGGTTTCCTCGGTAGCTCGGAGATATTGTGGCCCTGTTGAGTTATTATATTGAATCAAATTAAAAAAGTACTATTAGCAATGATGAAAGCGGTATAAGTTATAATTGGTTTGGAAAAATGATTCCTCTCATTGATAAATATTAACACTAAACACTAATGGAACTATACTGAATATTAATTGAACTTCAACCATGCCATATTGCTAATTCAACCATATTTTTCTTCTTCCTGCTATTTAAAAGAAGTTGTTCAGAGCGAATCAACAATTTTATTATCGCCCATATCGTAAGAATCCTCTTCTACTGGCTATTCCACATTAATCCTGGGGCATAATTGGCCTCGACAACTGAAACATTGAAAAAACATTACACTCTGTTTTACGATTATAAAAAGCAATAATTATATTGAAGAGTTTTTCCGATGAATGTGGGAATAAGGTCTGGGCTGGTTCCAATAAATTATCAACTAACTCCCAAGCCCAGTCTTCTGAGTCTAATTTATTATCAAGTCCTATTTAAACAGAAGTTGATAGAGCCTAGCTGTGGTCAAGTAACTACAGCTCGCACATGAGCTGGTCGACCGGGGAAGTACCACCCTCTCACAGAGGTTCGGCGTGAAGTAGTCATAAATGATCGTAATTTCCCCGTCCCCATCCTTTCCTTATTCCGACAGCTCCCTTTTCGTCAACAGCTATGGTAGGTAACACATTCGTATGTTCCGGATGTCCATGAGTGACGGTGACTACTGACCATAAAGTAGGCTGCCTGCTAATTTGCCACCTTTTACTTAAAAAAACCGTATACACATGTACACGAAGTATATGTTGATGAGGGAAAGCAGACATTGGAGAAAGACAAGCTAAGTATAGTCTTTTCTTATTAGAGCATTTTCTACAAATATAAGTATCAGAACTTATCTGAACACGCAACTTTTAGACCTCTTTTTATAGAAAGCGAATTTCGTTGATGATAACAGCTTATGGTGTAGAGGTACTATCTTTAGAAACGTCAGCATATTCAACTTTACCTTCCTAAAAATTACATATATTTTTGAAACTGATTTTATCGAACTACTATGCAAAGATTGAATATAAAACAACAATAATAACACAGAGCTATAAAAAAAATGCGGAAATTTGGACCTAATGAGGCATTATAATATGCATGACGTCAAATAAAGGGTTCGATAAACCAAAACTAAATTAATTAATAAAGAAAATTATTAAAGATGGAAATATTAATAAGATTTTTATACAAGAGAAACTTAGTAGAGCATTTATAATCCGAAAATTTTAATACGATAATGATTCTGTGTTATGACATAGCTTATAAATGTTTAGTTAATACACTTATTAAATAATTATAACTACGTAAAAGCATTTCTTTATTTTCAAATGATCATGCTTAATAAAGAGAAATATGCAAACTCATGCACGAAATCTACAAACGATAAGATTTAAACAAACTTAATACGTAATGAATATAATCAGTAGCCTAAAAGTCACGCTAATTGCTTATAAAATAACAAAATTCCAATGACTGTTCATTTTTTTTTGTACAGAACCAATATATATTTCTTTATCTCTAAAATGCAGCCCGGAAATTCGAAGGAGAAAAATATCGTATTTTTTCCATCTTTAATCTCATGCACTCTCAATACAAGAAGAGATTAATTTAATAGAAAAACCTCGAAAAGTCATCCACGAATTGTAGTCTATAATATTAAATTAATATTATATTTTATGTTAATATCTACTAGATGTCCCGACGAACTTCGTATCGCTCTATAATCAAGCAATATCTGTTACGTTTTTATCTGAATGAAGTTCATTTCCTTAATCCTCTGAACAGAGTTTTGCCTTTTTTTTTCGCTGCGCCCTGGGTAAAAATGCCTTACGCATCCCCTTTCCGTCGAAGGACGGAGAGGGGTATGTGGGACTCCCCGGGAAAAGGTTCCCGGTATACCCACTAAAAAAATCAGTGGCGCCCCGACTTCGCCTGACTGGCAGGGGGCTGGGCATCCGGTTTACATCCAGCCCGAACGGAGTTTTGCCTGGTTCAAGTTTCAACCTGATAATCGGTAATCACTCATCGTTAGTCAATCACAAGTCAGTTGTACACACTTTAATGATTGGAATGTCCTTAAATATACATTTGTAAGTACTTAGCTGCCGTGAAATATAATTTAAACACTGCAAAAAAATTGTCACAAAGTTTTAATTATTATAACCATTAAATAGTACCTTTTGGTTGTAAAGAACATAATCGCTATAATTTGATGATGTTCCATTTACTAAATAAGAGAGGTGAGAATAAAAAAGCATATATTCAGGGTGTATGTAGGTACGTCATTCAACAACACATTTACATTTTGTTTGTAAATATGTGAGATTAAATATCTCAAATGTTATCAGATAAGTTAAAATCGACATACTCGACAAATATTAAAGCCAATTAATGTCATTTGTAAAATTAATACTAGATAAATGAATCTAAATAGATTTAAAAGAAAAACATTGAAATATAAAGTAGGATAATTACACATTTATAAAATATGTTTATTTTTATGTACGATTTTAGGCACTTCTCTTCATTAGTCTACAGTTACAATGATTCCTTCGCTTAATACAAAGAAAATTAAGAAATGTCACATACAATATCGTTAATGGACATTATATTTATTTCATTATATTCACAACATTTATTGAATACTAATGTGTGAAAAAAAAATATATTAAAAAATCATTTTTTTAAGGAAATACATAATAAGGTTTTATATGAAAGTTTTAACCATGCTTGACTTTTTAATGCAGAGTGAAGGTAATATTTTAAGGTTACCTATGCCTACCATAGAAATAATAAAATATCCATATGTATGTATGTGTATTTATAACCAAGATTAAAAACAAGTACTTAATTCAAAATTTATCACATGATCTATCTTTGATATCATCAGAAAATATAAGATTCCTTTTTATATATGATTGTATGGTACACATTTGTAATCCGGTTTTCCTAAACTATTGGTAAATAACAATATAATCAAAACACTGGCGATTAAGACTGTATCTATAGATAACGCATCGATATATTATACATTGATCTTCATGACTTTCACAAATTAATGTAAATTAATTTGTGTTACATAAAATAGTGATAAGCGATAAGCATAGTTGTGAGTTGCACGTAACACGTTTAAAAGTTTATGTATGTATGTATATATGTATAATGTTAAGGTACCTACTGCAGTTGTTATAGAAAGATATAAGACACAATTTTTTTTATAGACAATAAGCGTTCAGTAACATGCGTTTTGTTGCATACACAAGGACTTTGTTATTAGTATCTCAAACTAAACTGCTCAAGTCACGGTTGTCAGTTAGTTATTATGAATGTATTGAACATAGTGGACACAACGACGCTAAATTACTTTACAGTAATTCATATCTACACTACACAACTTACTTTATTATATCCACAACAATTCTTTACACAGATTCACACTACATTATAACTCAATACACCACATGTAAAACGTACTAAATGTTACACTAAGATACTTACAATGTACATACAATATCAAAAACCATTACTTTAAGACAAATCACAGATGGCATTTCGTCACTTGATGTTTTCCAGGATGTCAATAATTCCGATAGAATTGTACGCCACCATTTCGTTACATACATACATATAACGAATACTACAATAATAGGTAAAAATTTGACTTTAAAATACTGACATTTAACATTAGAAGCCTTAACTGCAATTTTAACAGTTTTCTTATCACTCTTCAGACTTAATATAACATTTGATCTCATTGTTTTGACGTAATGTGAGATGGATGTCTCATCAGGCATTCAACAAATATCTGGTTACGTAATTAGTTACAAAACTACGAAATATATTAATAAAGCTGGAGGTGTGGTTGTGTACATAAGAGATAATTAGACCGCACAAGTTCATGAATCAGACGTTGATGAAGCCAACGAAAGTCTCGCTGTAGAAATCCCTAACGTAATAAACCTCTTAGCCGTTTATAGATCACCGTCTTTTAACGTTATAACCCCTTTCTTAAAATCTTTGAGTAAAACTATAAAAAGCCTGAAACAAAAACCATACAAAATATTCTGGGCTAGTATTTGACCTATATTGATATAGTAATATTAATAAACATAAAAATAAGGTTGAAAGTATGTGTTTTCATTGCAATTTTTCTCTCAACTAGTTTTTTTTTAATTATAAATGGGATTGAAATTAGTATTACAATACATACATATATTTCAGATAACTAACTCTTTTACTTTTGTAAGTTTTTTACATTTATTAAAATTATTCGACTGTATCTACATACATCAAGTGTGAAAGATAGGAATGAAAACAAAAATTTTTGTTTGTATTGTTAATTGTTATTATAATTATAAAATTAATTATGAATTAATTAACTGCATTAGTCGCGATCCAGTCTGCGTAAGAAGAAACGCGTACATTAACACCTGGATAAACAGGGTGAGCGCATTCGTATCCCCAGGAAGTAATTCCTACTAGAACGTTTCCACCATGAACAACAGGTCCGCCGGAGTCGCCCTGGCAGGCGTCCTTGCCACCGACATCCAGAATACCAGTACACATCATCTCAGGAGTTACTCTTGGCCAGATTATGGGTAAAGATTGGAAATCTTCGTAGCGTTCGGCACAAATACTTTGGTTGATGATGTTAACAGAAGCTTGCTGAAGTATCTCAGAAGGATATCCATGGAACTGAAAAAAAAGTTGTTAGTTTTTAATACTGGCTAGCATAAGAATATACCAGTTTTAGTATTCACATATAACCAGTTACTTTCTCACGACTTCTCATACTAATATTCATTGATATACATATGTATTATGATACTTACACTGGTAGTCCCCCAACCAATTACATTGAGAGGTGTATTGTCTGGTAAGATGTACTGTGGTCCAGCAATTCGAGCAATTTGAATTTCATTAGATAATGTAACAGCGTTTTGAAGTCTAATTACTGCGACGTCATTTATAAGTAAGAATTTGTTATATTGTGCATGCATGATAATTCTAGAAACCTCTTGGACTTGTCCGCCAGACGAAGCATAAGTTGATCCCAATCGCACTCTCAGCTTGGATGGAGTAAGATCTCTGAAATTATATATTTAATTAGAAAGAAAATATAAGCTTAAGTCACAAGGTAATTATTTGATAGTAACACAATGTCAATCTAACTTGATTGTACATATTTAACTTGTTACAGACTACTTAATTTAAAATAATAGAATATCTCTTACTCAAAACAGTGAGCAGCTGAAACTACAGCTCTGTTGGTTATAAGAGTTCCACCACACATCTGGCTCGTACCCCAGTTGAAATATTCTAAGATACCAGACATGAAAGGATATCTTTCAATATTGGTGTTTTCACCACCCACAATACGTACTGATTTTCTTGGGGCCGCTGTAACATTAAAAAAATAAAATTATTTTAATTTTAGTCAAATGTATACTGTAAAACCATTTTGTTTTTAAATAATATGTCTGGAATTTTGTATTTTTTAGGTTTAACTTCTTTAACACTCACATCTCGTCTGCAAGTGATTACGGTTGCTGCAAAGTAACCGAAACGTCGGGAGTATGTATGTAGTTTCCATCAAAAATAAAAAACCCCGTAGTAAATCCGAAAATATTAGTTTCATTTAAATGAGTACTCGCGAAAAATCTTAGATATCATTATTGATTACTTGTAAAGACAAAGCAAAGGCAAAGGCTAGTCGTAGATAAAAACACGACGTATACCTTTTTACGATATCCAATCATTCAACGCGTTATACATATTAGAAACCCACATTTTGAAAAATTTCACGTGAGATTCGTGAATTGGTGAGGGAGTTGAATAAAATTTCAGAACTTATCACCCTGGGGGGTGGGGAGAAGGATAGAAAATTAAAAAAAAAACAATCACGTAATTTTGAAACCCCCCTAGGTGGTAGAAAAATCACATTTTAAGTACTTCACAGGTTTCAGTACACCGCTCTTGAGGTTTTCAAGAATATCAGGTTATTTAACGTACACATAATCTATAACGTTTAACGAATATATATATATATATATATATATATATATATATATATATATATATATATATATATATATATATATATATATATATATATATTTTATATGACTATATATATATATATCTATATATTAAGTAAAAGGTGGCAAACGAGCAGACGGCCCACTTGGTGGTCAGTAGTGACCGTCGCCCATAGACATCCGCTACATGGATGTTGCGGATGCGTTGCCAACCTTAGCTGTGGAGGAAAGGGAGGGGTGGGAATAAGGAAATATAAGGAAAGGGTTGGAACAGGGACAGGGCAACCGGCTCTCTCACTCATTGGTCGAAACGCAACCATTATAGGCTACTTCATGCCGATCTTCTGTGAGAGTGTGTTACTTCCCCGGTCGAGCCAGCCCATGTTCGAGCTGTAGTTACTTAACCACAGCTAGGCTCTACCACCATGGAAAATTAGTAAAGTTAGACAATATTTCACGTTAGGACACTTGCTTCTACTGTACCAAACATTAAACAAGGGTCGTATAGTGTTATTTTATTCTCCTGACTGAGTGTTGATACTCTGAAGTCCCTAAAAGAATATGGTCCCAAAATATATTTTCAATCGGTAATAGTGAGTGCAATAAGGAAAGTTCAAAAAAAATTTTAAGACCTTGTAAAGATCTTGCCTTTATAATTTTACTTTTGTTTTAGAGTGGGTTAGTAAGTTAGTGGTCCCGTTTTTTAATGGATAGGATAAATGTGCTGCTGTAATGCAGTCCTCTAAATTACAACTTTTTCTGAGGCCCAGAATATGGGGTCCTTTAATACGTCAACTGTAAAGGTGCTTAGATCACAAAAAATACAATGTAGTTCATTTGTTCTTTAACGTTTCAGATATTTTGAATTTGAATTTTGACAGGTAGCCGTCTGCTCGTTTGCCCCCTTTCACTTAAAAAAAACTTTGTTGTTTTGTAGGAAACGATGTATTTGAACTTAAAAGGCAAGAGAAAATGTGAAGTAAAAGTGAAAGAACAACAATTTCCTGGCTGCAGTACCTTTACTTACCACAAACAGCTCCAAGAAAAGCTAACAGTATTAACGCACGCTTTTTTCTTGATCTATCGCAATCAATACAGAAATATGTTTTTTAAACTGTACTTTTATAGCGAATCTTAATACATATCTGTGATTTGGTCATATCTAATATTTATTTTTATCAATAATAATACATCCTGTTTATACGGATCTTTTAATGAATTATATGCTATATTGTATACCTTTCCATATTTGGAAAACTAAATATTCATTTAAATGTACAAAATATGAACTGTCAATTTGAAAATTGATAGCATTTATCCATCTATCATGTAATTGGAGCATGCTTTTAGTAACGTAATTGTTAGGATTGAAAAGTTTTTAACAAAATATTCTGAAACAGTTTTGATGATGTTTTCCTAATTAGAACTTTACTCTTTTGATTCCAATGCCCTATTGGAGAATAAGAACCTGTGGGAATGTTAGAACCGCTTGATAAGGCCATCTTCAGAATATTCAAGTTCTGTGAGGTGGAAGAACCTACCTGTACTCATTACTGCATCTGGAACGTGGCCTGGCTCGACCGGGGAAGTACCAGCCTCTCATAGAAGATCGGCGTGAAGTAGTCTTATACATCTGCGTTTCGCCGAATGATTGTAAAAGCCGGGTTACCATTTCGCTTTTCCCAACCTTTTCTGTCCCTCTGCCCCAAATAAAGATGACAACGCATCCATAAATATTTTGCGGATGTCCATCGGCGGCGGTACCACTTCCATCAGTCAGACCTCATACTTGTTTGCTTCCTTTTTCATAAAAATAAAATCTAAACCAGTTTCGTGTGGGAATAAAGGAGATTTATAAAATAACACTAGTCTTTGGTATACACTTTATTAATTGGAATGTCCTTAAATATACGAAATATTAACATAAGTACTTAGCTGCAGTAAGATACAACTTGAACACTGCAAAAAATTGTGACAAAGTTTTAATTATTATGGCCATTAAACAGTACCCTTTGGTTGTAAAGAATATAATCGCTAGCGTTATGATTTGATGATGTTCCATTTACTAACTAGGGGAGGTGGGAATAAAAAAGCATATATTCAGGGTGTGTGTACGTCATTCAACAACCCATTCACATTTTGTTCGATAATATGTGAGATTGAATGTCTCAAATGTTATCAGATAAGGTACAGACATACCCGACAAATATAAAAGCCAATTAATGTCATTCGTAATATTAATCCTAGATAAATTAATCTAAATAGATATAAAAGAAAACATTCAAATATAAAGCAGGACAATTACACATTTATAAAATGATGTTTATTTTTATGTATGATTTTAGGCACTTCACTTCATAAGTCTACAGTTACAATGATTCCTTCGCTTTTTACACAGAAAATTAACAAATGTCACATACAATATCGATCATGGATATTATATGTATTTCATTGTTTATTGAATACATACTAAATTTGTGAAAAAAATTATATAAAATAAAATACTCAAAATGTACATCCGTTGTATCAATAGATAGCTGCCTTGGTGTGGCGATAATAACTACAATAATTTAATTGACCAACTAATTAATTGACAATATACATAAGATAGTACAAAAAATTAATAATAATCATATAATGATCCTACACTAATAAAGCTTTCATTTTACGTTTAAATTATACTTATGAGATTCATTATTATTTACATTTATATTGAAATGATTTAATATCCATCAAATACATTTTACATATAAATCATATAGTGTGATTGACAGACACTTTGTCCTGTAGAGGAGTTGTGAAGCAACTAAGTAATAGTTACAATATGTGCTGTAGTCAGGTAATATTTGGCAGAGTTCAAGTTTTTTATTGTACGTTATATAAACACAAGTGGACAGAAAATAATCTGTTTACTCATATAAAATATATAAAATATAAAATATACAAATGTATTGCATTAAACTGTAGCATAAATGTTTGTGGATGATATAAAACTACTGAGTACAAGTGAATCAGTAAGTATATAACTGGCTTATTGTCATGAAAACAATGAAAGTTTCACATATAATATACTACTGAGGATTTTATGTGACATATTGAAATTCTTAAACACAGTTAATAAATAAATATCTTAACTTAGTTGGTAGAGCGCTATAAACAACATACGCATATAATATACAACCACTCGTCGAAACAGCAACAATACTCATTCAACATCATAATAATGAAACATGTTTAGTACATAATTATATTTAATGAAAATATTACGTAAATGCTAAGCCAAAACAACAGCCTCTCTAGAAGCTTTAAAGGCACAAACTTCATAAGATACAGAGCTGACATAGTTTCGCTGTTAATTAATTACTCTTTGGAAACAATGATACATTTAACTATTTATTAATGTGTATAAAACTATTATTAACATTACAAAGATACAATTCCTTAGTGGTTGACAACCTGCAAATGAAAAGATAACTATTAGTGAATTTATAGAGCAGAGAGTATGAGGGCTGGATAATTATTGAGAATAATTTCATGAATTTACTGTAGAAAATATATAATAAAGTTTTATATCAAACTTTTAACCATGCTTGATCTTTTAACGCAGGATGGAGGTAATGCCTACCTTAGAACTATTAAAATATCCTTATTTATTTAGAACCATGATTAAAAACAAGTAATTCAAAACCTATCACATGACCTATCTTTCATATCATCAGAAAGTGTAAGATTCTTTTTTAAATATAATGTTATGGTACACATTTGTTATCTGAGTTTTCCTGAAATATAGATAAATAAAAAATATAATCAAAACACCGGCGATTAAGATTTTATCTATTGATAAAGCATTGACATACTATACATTAATCTTCATGACTTTCAAGAATTAATTAAAATTATATTGTGTTTTTTTGTGTTAAAATAGTGATGAAGCCAGGGGCGGATCTACCAAAGACTTTTGAACTGCAGCCCAGGGCCCCGCGAATACAGGGAGCCTCCAAACGAACCGAAACCAAAATAAGATATTGTCAATAATAAAAACTATCTAGAATTCAAAAAAATCCGATGGTAAGGTTGACAACATTACAATCAATCAACTCATGTGCGCATCTGTCAAAAGGATCAGGATCTTAAAACTTATATATAAGGACCGAACCTTTCTTTTAATTAACTAAAATTGAAAGTATACAGCATAACTAGACTGACTGCATTTAATAGGCCGTAGGTAAATAGAAAGAATTATAAAACGTGACTTTTTTTATTTTTATTTTATCATTCAAAACTTAATAAATCGAGCTCGTTCGATATTTGATGATTATAATTTGTGAATTGCTACACTACCTTATTTTACATTATGTCTGTTAGAAAATATAAGAGTGGTCCGTAAAAAAGAAAATTACAGTTTCTTCGAGAAAAAATGCGCAAAAATTTAAGCTTTTTTAAAAGCGGAACTTATAAACGCGAATGAAAAAACATAAATCCATTAAAAATCGTAACGAAAACCAAGAACTCAGTAAACGGCGCAGTAAAATTAAAAAAGACACGCTTAACGTTATGGATTTAAATAAAGAAGCCAAACTTATGAAACCTTCAGCAAAAAACAAAATTAATGTATTTGCAAGAAAAAAATCTAGAACACATATATACATGTACATTTTTTTCCTATTTTCTTCCTGTACTTAACATATACCTACATCACTATAGAAAATAGTGTCTTGTCAAAATGGAAATTAGTTAAGTAATTAGTTAGGGCCCCTAAGTAGTATTAGCCCAGGACCCCATAAATCCAAGATCCGCCCCTGGATGAAGTTATAAGCGCAGTTGTAAGTAGCAAGTTTAGAAGTTTATGTATGTATGTATACATAATGTTAAGATACTGCAGTTGTGATAGAAAGATATAGAACACAACGATTTCTATAGATAATATAAATTCAGTGACATGTATTTTGTTGCATACACAAGGACTTTGTTATTAGTATCTCAAACTAAACTGCTCAAGTCACGGTTATCAGTTAGTTATAATGAATGTATTGAACATAGCGGACCGTTTCATTGCTTGTCGACGGTTCTCTTGAGCCACTGTGTAAAGTGTCTCAGCTGCCACACGGCGCGGGCTGATTCCTCCCGCAGACGGGAGTTGTGGACCCGCAGACGACGAACCTGGGACAGACAGACATACAAACATATTGACACATACACATGTGTGTATGTGTCAATATATTTGTGTCCGTGTATGTGTATACACATACACGGACACATACATATACATATACAATGATATCAACTTAATGTCTGTTTTTATATGTAGGATATCAATAAGTTTCTTATGACTTAAGCCATAAAGGTTAATAAAAAAGAATGTAAAAATGTAAAAATTCATTGTCTACAATAATAATTAATCTAGTTGAGAGATGTCTTGATTACTGATAACGAGATTAACGTTTCCTGGATTGGTAATACATTTTGTTTATTTATCTTTAAATTAATAGATAATAACAATAGTTAGGTAGCATTTCAACATTTACTAATTCATCTATCTGGTGGGTAAATAATAACTCATTAACCTTAGTACACGTATATTGACGGCCAAAATTATCATTTAAACTATGATTGCTTTCATAGAAAATATAGCAATTTATCAAAATTAAAACAAATGAGTATACTATAAGATATTGTCCTAGGATCTCTCAACTATGGTATCATCTTTGTATATATAAAAATTTCGTGTCACGTGTTTGTCCGCGATGGACTCCGAAACTGTTAAACCGATTTCAAATTTGATTTGCATTCCTTGTGCATTTCGATCCAACTTGAAAGATAGGATAGCTTACATCTCAATTTATAGTCACAATATTATTTTATTGCAAATTATTTGTCTATTGAAGAAAATTATTTGTCATTATTACAATTATCTCTTGACTGAGTTAAGTATTCTATTGAATATATTCCATCTATTCATTGCTATGTAAAAAATACAAACGTCATATATGAGCGACTATTTAATACATAATCGCATAACCACCATGTGTTTCTGAGGCTAAGGTATAACCTAAATTTATATATTATAAAAACGTTACAGATATTTCTTGATTATAGGGCGATACGAAGTTCGCCGGGTTTTCTAGTATCATATAAAAGTCAACGTTCTTCGTACAATAGACCGCGTGACGTCATCGTGTGACGTCATCACTCTGTGCTCAATGAATACCTCCTCCTCGAGGTGATGCCTGTGTCTCTGCGCGGAGGCTGCGTCCGCCTCCAAGGCCACGACCCTCGCCGCCAGACCACAAACACATCCGCTCCCGCTAACACCGACGACACTCGTACTAGTCACGCTGTCCGATGGCTCGCTGCTCTGGAAACAATTTGTGGCATTCTATAATCATAATATTTCAAACTTGGTTCACTTATGAGGGAGACAAAGCTAGTAGCGTGTATGTATGTGTCATGGAATACAATTAGTTTGAAAAGGATTGGTCTATAAAGGGTTATGAAAGAAATATATATAAAAATTGAAATTTCATTGTTAGTATTATACAAAAATATATGTTTATTTGAGTTGTAGATTAGTTTGTAATTACAGTCCAGACCGCGAAGTGTTTTAGTTAATCATTATATTTTAAGCTCGAGAGTTTTTGTCATATATTTAGTTCATTTATAACTTACGGGTATTTCAGGCCACGTGTCTAGAGCCACTTCGCTTGTTTCTGACGGTACGTCCGCGTTATCCATCGATGGATATTGATGTTCCTCACAAATCTATATGAAAACAATAAGTCATTTATAATTTACGTTCCATTCATCCATTTATATTCATATACTTATTTTCACACAATTTTTGCCTCTATAGATTAATTAAGATGCCACAGTATTTTGGTTTATTTTTTTATTTTTCTATAACTATCGGAAGTTATTTCTACAACACGATAAAAATATAATGACGTAAAAGATATCCAATATAAAACAATACTTTTGTAGCTTCCTGTACATTTAAATGTAATCTTTATCATGTACGATACATAAGGTTGGTTTTAAAAGTGTATAAATAGTATGTGTAGTATGGACAGGTATGTTTATAATTACAAAAATATAGATTATATTGTTTCTATAAAACTTGTTGTAACCTGCAACATAGCTCTGGTAGCAGTATGAACTAAGGCGGCCCAGTCCAACGCGGCGGCGTCTGGGAGTGGCAGGGGTGCTGAATTGGTGGTAGACATACTGTTGTTTGTAGACATACTGTTGTTTGTGGAAGACATACTGTTGGTGTTGTTTGTGTTTGCGACACCACCACTGCCACTGCGATTGTTCTCACCGAGCTCGGCATCCATTATACACATCAATTCCTCCTTCATATGTAAGGCAAATAATATTAACTTATTGGGATGAGTGCTATAATTGATGTTTATTGTAAGAAATTTCATTATGACATGATTATTATGAACAATTATATTAACGTTCCACTTAATTAAATAAAAATAATGTTGATGTTTATTGTTGCAACAGTTTGTGGCCTGCAATATAAGGTACTGCTATTGAAGCTTTGCTTAACATAAATTGTAAGTACCGTTAGCGAGGAATGTGCAGTGGAACGCGGCCGGCGAGAATGTCTTGGTGAAGCGTCTTCGTGAGACCGACGACGTACGTCAGGGCCCGACGTAGTACTACGACCTGAACCACCTAAAATTACATATTACAATATTATAGAAAATACATTGATGTATAATTTAATTATTATTATTTTCTCTATTTAGTGTCTCAATGTAACGATTATATAACTATAATATTAAGACCCAGATTCACAAATCAGTGTTAAATAAGTAACATCGTGTAAAGGCGTTTGATGCTCCGTTAGATGTATCGAGCGTCCCAACCACGCACAAATATGTCCGTTTAAATGTTTTTTTCTTTCACTTTCCTCTTAGTACAAAATTCAGTTTTGATATATTTTCATCGTAATAATATTAAAAATCACGCTGTAAATTGCCGGGCATTTATTCAAATTAGAATCACAATATTAAAAAAATATATATGTATTATGGGAGGGCATAAGTAATTCGTCAATAAGAAATTTAACGAAAAAGATATTTTTATTATGCTTATTATTACTTTTACTTTTTCTAATATCTAGTATATAATATCAGCAACAAATTATATTTAGAACCATCTTTTCACTCAATGACTGATTTATATAACACACAAAACGTTATAGTTTCCACTTGGTCGTCTTATAACAAGAACGAATAGTTTGGTAGTCGGTCATTTGACATGACGTTTAACAATGCGTTGTTATTTTGTCATTGTGGGACGTAAATATTTTAACAAACATTTATGATTTTGTAGATTGGTTAGTAAATGCTGTGATTAGCTTAAACAAACATTGATTGGTGAAACTGGGTCTAAGTTGTCAAACAGGTTGTTGACTTTCAAAGGGAAAATTTGATCAGGTTTCAATCTACCCTCTGTATTACACTTGTGTTTTTACTGTTTTTGTTCAATAATAATATATAATTATAATGTCACCGGTTCCATATCCTGAGGTATCAGATCTCGGTGGTGACAGTCGTCTTCGTGACGGCTGTTGGCCCCAAGCCTCGCCGCACGAACTTTGGCATTCACAACGCGCGCCCGCAGCGAATGTTAGACGAATCTGAATACAAGGTGTTCTAAGATGTTACAAATACTTTATAAACATAGGTTACTAATTAACAGATATTATATTGGTCTAAGATCCGGATATAAGGCGACCTTCACCGAGATGTTTATTTGATGAAACATATTTTATATTCAATTTAATATGTCAATAACTATATTACATATGGGTTGCCTCATAAATTTTAGTCCAGGATATGATTAATTAACAATTAAAAATAGATTTTTTTTCAAATATTTCACCGGTTTGTTTATTAGATAAATTCCACACCAATCGAAAGTACGGAGCCCATAGAATATGAAAACGTTAGGTTGCCTATTTTTTTTTTTTTTTATTATTCTTTATTGCACAAACAGAGGTGTACAAAGAGCGGACTTAACGCTATTACAGCATTTTCTGCCAGCCAACCCAGAATAGTATAGGATAGAAGTATGTAGGGTGTGCACAGAAGTTAAAGAAACATTAAAAATATATACATGATATAAAATACATACATATACATATACATAATATACATAAATATGCACAAACAAATACATATACAAGTACATAAATATTTAACATATATACACAAATATATACATATACAGGGTGACTGGTGAATTACTATCAATATTTAAGGAGCATACTCGGTACATGATTCTCATTCGAATTATGTAAAAAAAATAGGTACTTAATTTTTGACCAAATTTCCGTATAAATAAATAAAGTTTGGACACGTACTCAGCCTTGCCGGCGCCAGTGTGTCGCTACTCCCCAACCCCCGCCCCGTGGCTAGCGGGCCATTAGTCGGCTATTAGTCGGGCGAGCGCCGCCGTAAGGTCCGTACGTTCGTCTTCCCGCGCGCGCGCATAGCGATCGATCTTACGCGTATACCTAATAATAATCTGTCGTGTGTGCGTGTGACCCGTTATTACTTATTAGTAATTAAATATGGCTTTTCAATACACAAATGCAGAATACTTGGACATGGTTCATGCGTATGCGCGTGCAAATGAAAGCTTGCCGGGCGCAATCAATTTGTACCGGGAGATGTTCCCCAATCTTGGAGTACCTACGGCCAGCGTCATCTTAAACGCTAATCAAAGATTACGAGACTTCGGACAGTTCCGTGTTCCAACACATGCCCAAGGAAACGTCTTGTGTATGCTACAGAGTATGTCAACAGAGAGGAGTTGAAATTAAAAATCAATAGTGATTTCGAAACTATTAAAAGTGACCCATTTGTATTAAATCGTGTGAAAGACAATATGTGTAAACGTGCCGAACTGTGTATCACACGAGAAGGAGCTCACTTTGAACATTTGTTAAGATTAGTGTAGTTATGTAGGTAAATAGGTAGTTTAATGATTGACAATTGTTGTAAATAAGTATGATTCCATTTTTAAATACGCCGGAAATACCAAGATAGGTAAACAGTTCATATTATTTTTTGTGTCAAGGTCACACCATTTACCTAGTCAATAAATTGGTTGCTTAAACGAAAGAAATATCTTGGTATTTTTGCCTGTCCTAAGCCAGGATTAAAGTATGAAGGGAAATGGATCATTTTCGTTTATCTACGGTCTAACACGCGGCGGCGCGCGGCGTTTGGATGTAGGTAAACTACCGCGCGATAACTACATATACCTACGTACAGAACTGTTTTGTGTCGATAACGCAGCTAGGGTATCCACGCGATCCGTAATTAATTACATAACTTTTGGTTAACTTTACTTAGAAGTTTATTAATGTTTATGTTATATTAATTTTTATTTTGTCATATATGATCGTCAACTACCACGTCCTTAACTATTGATAGTAATTCACCAGTCACCCTGTATATATGAATCCAATAATGACAATAGTACAGAAGAAAAGATATTCTTCTCCAGTCACAACTCTCGGGTTGCCAGGGATAAACAGGTACATCGATAGTAGCATTTTGCACCGGTCTGATAATTTAATCAAATTTAAATGAAAATAAAGATTATTTAATTATGAACACGGTGAAATAGGGTTGCCTGCGAAAAATCGGTCCTAAATTAGGGTTGTCGAATTTTAAAAAGTAAAATATTGCCGCGAGTGAATATGTACGACTGAGAGGTCCCAAGCATTTTTATGAAAAATTACTCTGCTAAAGAAGACAATGAGCAGTTTCAAAAAAAAATCAAAGGCTTTGACTCTAACTCCATACCTCCGTGCTGGATATCATTAACGCAGAAAATTTTACGAACTATTTTCGTAAATTCATTGTGGCTGAATGCAACAGATCCAATATGCATCAAACTTGAACCTGAGAGCTGCGGTTGGTACTTGATGAATATTTAAAACCACGAGGATTCATTGGGGATCATACACCTTTAAGAATAGATGATATTGTCGAAAGAACCGAAACAGAGAGTGATGAAGAAGAAGGTGCAGATGTCGAAGATCTCAGTTTCATGTCCGATGACTCAGAAGCTGAATAATTTAAAAATATTTATGTATTTATACTTTTTTATAATAAACAGATATTCATTTTTAATTGTTTTTCATGTTTTTTCGAATAAAAAAAATTACTCTAAATTAGTATTACATATGTATTGTTATAACCTTCTTATTTACTATACAACGTGTAACGTAATTAACGCACACCCTCAAATACCCCAATGCGTATATAATAATATAAACGCAATGCATACACCAAATATTATTTATATGTGGGTTTGCATTTTTTATTTGTGAAATTAGTTATCCCAATTTCGTGCAAATAATATGGTTCGCTATTCATCGACACTCTGTACTCGCCGCGCCCGCGCCCCTCTCTCCGAGTGCCGTCCGACAATAATAAGAAGTAGGTAACAATAAGTACACGAAATAACTACATACATTATGATTTTTCTTTCCATCACACTTTTCAAGCTTTAGATTGTTGACATTGAATTTTCTTTTTAATGTGAAGCCAATATTTTATAATTACTGATTTGTTAAATTAAATTTGTAAATAAGAATTATTAAACAGCTGATAACGCGTGATTTGAATAGACACCACAATATCTACGACAAAGTTAAACACAGTCGGCCTGTTTAAATGGTGTGTATCAAAATATTTACAATAATTTAAAGATCATAAACAAACTTACAGTTTAATTTGCACTCGCACGGCGTTGTCGTTTTAAAACATTTTCAAAATATTCACCGCCTTGTTTAATGCACTTTAATGACCGTTTTCGCAATTGTGGTTTTATTTTAGATAATACTGCAATGTCACTTTTCACTTTTACAAAGGCGGTTATTATCTTATTTTTTAGTTCCTCGGCACTTGTTATCTCTGTGTTATAAACTAGCGATTTAATTCGTTATTCGCCCCCACAAAAAAAAGTCGAGTCGCGTCAAATCAGCTGATCTAGGAGGTCAAGGGACACGTGCGTAGGTACTTGATGTATTGAATGTTAGTGTACCGAAACGACACAGCGAAATACGCGACTGAGATTTTATTTGCACTTTACACTTGACCTCTTTTTGAAAAGGTGGACGCGGCGTGACTAACTTACCCAAAACTCATTTTGTTGACTTCGATGTTTAGTTATTATTACTCTGATTCCCGGAATTATGCCTGCCGTCTCGCTCTATTGTAATGTTATTAAACCGAAGAAAGAAGGAGAAAGTAATAATTTTTGTATTACGCGGCTTTCTTTTATGCACTGTAGTGACCTTGCTGTGTGCCGGTTGTCGCTATGGTGTTGTGTGCGTAGTTATTAATAAATACTATTTTAGCCTTGAAATAAGTATCAGTTTTCTTTAATTGAATGATGATTACTAATTAAATATTTCATTTTAAAAATCTTAATACCCTGACTTACGATCCATTTTCGTTTCCATTAATTTTCGTTTCTATGAAGTGTTTAGATAACTCTGTGTAGGGTGACTATAATTTACTTAGTTCTATCTAAATTTGAGAAAAAAAATGACCTACATAAAAAACTATCAAAATCGATCCAGTATCCGATTCTGATCAAACTACTTTCAGGGTGTGCGTTAATTATGTTACACGTTGTATATGTATATATATATACAGGGTGACTGGTGAATTACTATCAATATTTAAGGAGAATACTCCGTACATGATTCTCATTCGAATTATGTAAAAAAAATAGGCACTTAATTTTTGACAAAATTTCCGTATAAATAAGTAAAGTGTTGACAGGTTCCAAGTGTTCAAGTGTGGACGCGTGCGGCGGCGTGATGATACAACACCACGCCGCGACACGCGTATGTGTGAGTGTGTGTGTATACCTAATCTGTAGGGTGTTCACACGATGCGTAATTAATTACATAACTTTTGGTTAACTTTACTTAGAAGTTTATTAATATTTATGTTATATTAATTTTTATTTTGTCATATATGATCGTCAAATATCACGTCCTCAAATATCGATAGTAATTCACCAGTCACCCTGTATATACTTTAATGTCACATTAAATATATACACATAAATAATTAATTAAATTAATATTAAAGAACTATTCTTCTATTTTTAATATAATAATAATACATTACTCAGAAATGATACACAGCATATACACGTCTATCGCTATCCTTGTCAGTTGCACTGACAAATAGCATACACACTCTCTTACAGCATAAGCTCTGTCCTCTTCTAACGCACGGAACAGTTGCTTGGGACCTCTCAGTCGTACATATTCACTCGCGGCAATATTTTACTTTTTAAAATTCAACAACCCTAATTTAGGACCGATTTTTCGCAGGCAACCCTATTTCACCGTGTTCATAATTAAATAATCTTTATTTTCATTTAAATTTGATTAAATTATCAGACCGGTGCAAAATGCTACTATCGATGTACCTGTTTATCCCTGGCAACCCGAGAGTTGTGACTGGAAAAGAATAGGCAACCTAACGTTTTCATATTCTATGGGCTCCGTACTTTCGATTGGTGTGGAATTTATCTAATAAACAAACCGGTGAAATATTTGAAAAAAAATCTATTTTTAATTAATCATATCCTGGACTAAAATTTATGAGGCAACCCATATGTAATATAGTTATTGACATATTAAATTGAATATAAAATATGTTTCATCAAATAAACATCTCGGTGAAGGTCGCTTATATCGGGATCCTCTACTATATGAACATAGCTAGGTAGGAACAAGTTTTTTAATTGTGAAAAATTTAATATTTGTGTAGCTTTTCACAAATATATTGAATCATTGGATACGTAATAAGTATGAGTTTCTAGTTTATTTATTTGCAATCCTACTTTGATATTGTCGTATGCGATAAATATAATACAAAAAAATATACGGTTGAGAATGTATAGAAGTATTAATCAGATACGTCTTTTCACAATCTGTTGTTTCAAGTGGCGTCCTCCGTGCCGTACTAATTATAAACTATAATCCTTACAATTCTTTTAATGACTAATTGTATTTAATAATAATACTGAACCATTATTTTGTAATGGCAACAATTCAGTATCATCTTTTATTTAAAAAGTCTGAAAATGTGCTTTAAACACTGTATAGGCTTTTTGAAAATTAAATGACTTAAAATTATCATAAAGAATAAGTGAATAATGTATGTAGTTTTGATAAATCTATGAAAATTTTCATATCACTATATATGTACTAATAAATATATTATATACAATAAGGTTACATACAGTAGGAACATGTTAACTAACAGGGGGCGTTCCCGTTGTTCCGCAAAAATATAGCATCCATACATGGGAAAAAATGCTACCAATCGAAAACATTATTTTTTATTATTTAAAAAAAAAAATCAATAAAAATGTTAGATTGACATGTAAAATAAACACTCCGTACACGTATGCTTGAAGAACGGCATCATCGGATTTTTATTTATGAATGACGATTGATCGATTGATCTACGATATTAAAATGTCAACCCGACCCCTACCCCCGAACGTCCGCATAATTTTATTCATTATAAAAGGAGCCGCTCGGCATCGTGCGTATTGCAACGTGGCTAGTTTGGGCAATGCTACTACGCTAGATACCTACCTACTATTCCGTGCTACTATTTTGATTTTGCACAGGAGGTTTCAAATTTATTGTGAATTAATTTTTTTTAATTCAGATTATTTTATGCTTATTTTTCCATGCTGATATATTTATTTTAATCTATTCGTGATATATATTAACGAGTTCAAGAGAACACCCTCTGTTACATAGCATACTGTATTAATAAAATTATGTATAAATCTGATGTGAATTAGCGGATTTGTGGTAGTATATAGCGGGTAGTATGTACTAACAGTGACTGGGTCCGATGTTTTCAGCAGGTCCACGAGATGTTCGTGGGGCAGCGCTACGACAGCCGCGCGGCACACTTCAAGCAGTCGGGCTCCGCGACGTACGCCTGCACGGGAGGCCGGGCCTCCGCCCTCCACGGCTGTTACCACACCGTCCGCTTGGACATGGAAACCTGCTCAACATTACATTCATTTATCCTATTTGTCAATGCTGACAGAATTTGATTTGCAGCACATAAAATATACTGAAATACAATCCAGAAAAAAATATAATAATTATATCATACAACATCCTAACCAATTTGGTTTTATCATACTCTAAGCTTGTTCCAAAATTTATAGTACATGTTAATTTTAACTTCAATTTATTTATGTCTATTAAATCCATATTTTATTAGTGTACCATCTACTACTAATGTATAAATATAATAGAAACTACTTTTCGTGTGACATACGTAGAGAAACGTCCTCGTAGAAGGACTATTACTGCAATAAATGTCGAAGGTCCAAATAGATTTATACAAACCTATTTATCTACCCTTGGGTAATTCCGCGATTCTACATTGTAAACAGATTATCAGAAGAACGTTCGACTTGAAATATTTTCCATATTAACGACTTTTATGGTAATTTTTCCAAAATTAGTAATAAATTAAACACTAAATAATTATCTAGTGATAGTAACGCGGATTCGCACCATCCCCGACGATATGTATATGTTTGCTCGTGTCAGTAGTATCATATTAACCTAGTTGCGGCGCGCTGCCCCTCTCCAGCGTGAGTTCTGACAGCGCGTGTGCGTGTTGAGGAGCCACGCTGGCCACACGACGTAGGAGAGACTCGCTGCATGACACACGGACACTCTCGCCGCGGTGATAGTAGATACGGACCCACGGACCGCTCACCACCCACCCTGGAATATACATGTCATATATGAGTTTGTATGTGTGTTTGTTGATTAATAGAAAACTTAATGAGATCTAAGATTTTCGCAGGTTTTATTCATTTAAATGAAATTTGTTTTTTCGAATTATTCTATGCGTTTACCTTTACGTTTCGGCTACTTTACCGTGATCACGGTTGCTGTAAAATGGCCAAAACGTCGGGAGTATGTAGTTTTTTGCAAAAATTAAGTCGAGTAGTATAATCAGATAAATATTAGTTTCATTTAATAGAAAACTTCCGTAAAACTGATATAAAAGCTGTTAATATACCAGATATGAAGGAATAGAGGTAGAGGTGAGGGAGATAACTAAGCTTTTAATACTACCAGTATTTCAGCTACATACAAAATTATCAATTAGTGATTTTTTTTTGTTTATATTCCAATTATTGTATAATTTACATTTTTTTCTCATTTATTCGTTAAATATTTTATTACTTGATTTTTTGATGTCGGGATAAATTATTGTAAATAAACATTTAATCATTTCGTGTATGAAATTAAAAAAAAGGATAATTTATAAGTCTAACTATTAACAAATCTCACATAATATAACTACGACTGTTTTTATTAAATCGTAAAAAATAGAACTATTAATATTACATGAATGGCCATGTATGATACGAACCCAGCAATGTATTAGTCGGCATTACAAGGACTATCTGTCTTGAACTTTCTTCAACTAAAACAATAGTATCAGCTGAAACACCCATAATACAGTCTAATATTGAGCCACCAGCTCCCTCATCCTGGACTTGTACCTGAAGCATTCATAAATTAACATATTATTTTTTGGAAAATTATATTTAATATAAATATAAAGATAAAAATAAAAATCTGTATCGTATTTTAGAATGTAAATTGTATTAATTATTGATATAACAGACAACTTTTAACCTTTGCTTTGGCTTTTATACATAATTGAAATTTCGTTTATATTTTCGCTTACAATTCTGAAATTAAATAGATGATTGAAATTTGTTATGAAGAACTTTGAAAATATTAAAGAATGAACTCGAGAAGTCATAAGTAAGACTAATAAATAAAAGTATTTTTATTTTAAATGTACTAACATGGTAACACAGGGCTCCTCTCACTAACACATCGTTAGCGCAATCATCGACACGCGGTATTATGGTATTGTTGTTAGAGTTACTGCCGCCCTTCATCAGGAGAGATGAAAATATTGCTGAAACAATAATACGAAATTATAAAAAGGGTAATTTATATTATATTATTTATTTAATTTATTTAAAAGTTACATCAACATCACACATATTCAGCACACATAAACAACAGATAAAATTGATAAAATCTAGGACCTGATATGAGTGACAATTACAGGTGTACACAACATTCACAAAAAGAAAAAAAACTTATTGTCTAACTGTTGAATTTAAGTGATAACTAAATAACTATTAAAGAAAAAATCTTAAGAACCAGTATACAAAACTACAAGAAAAAGAAAAGATATATATATATATATATATATATATATATATATATATATATATATATATATATATATATATATATATATATATATTTCATTGTTAAATCTGGGTAAGGCATCAGAAAATACGTCCAAATGCGGGATCTTAGAACATATTTGTACTCAGAGCAAAGTCTATTCATAGGACAGTGTTTGCCGATATTGGTGCGAGAGACCGCTGTATAAAATATTTTATATATAGGCTTTCTAGGTCTAACGGTTACTTAGATGTTAACATACGACAGAAGGTGCTCACTTTTGACTACCCTGTTAATAATTTTATATAAAAGTATTAAGTCATGTATTTGCCGACGTTTAGAATAGGTTTCCATTTTAAAGAAATTTAAAAGCGTGTCATATGGTGTTCTATGAGATATTCCACTACAATTAAAAGCAAGAGATCTGGTAAATGCACATTGTATGTTTTCTATTCTCTGTGATTGGACTGTATATGTGGGGTTCCATACTTAAGGTTATCTAAGCTTATTTAATATATATTCCTCTTACAGAATTTCTGTCCGCTCTCAACTGTAGTTGTTGTTATGTAATTCTTAGACAGATCTTTCAGGTACTCTTGTCTGGTCCGGGTCGCCATTGTACTAAACTTCGGTGATTGTATCGCAGCGTTCTCTCCATTTATAACCTGGAAGGCAATATTAGTTAATTATTATTTCATATATTATATCAACATGTTGTCAGTATTTTGCTAGAATGTACTGGAGAGTCTCGTATTTTAACTATGGTAAAGTAGGTATTACAATATTATTACTTTCAACAGGCATCATAACACACTATAATTAGATTTTGCTTCAGAGGAACAATAAATTTTTGGGAAATAGATGGACATACATAAAAATATGCTTATAAATGAACACAAGCTCATAAGCTTGATTGAATTCATAAATTGATTATAAATAAGTTTTCACTTACTTTACTTAAAAGTAAATCCGTGAAGGCTTCACCCTTCGGATACACGGCTCCATCTTTAATCGGTGGACCAAATAAAGGCACTTCTTTGGCACGACTTACGGCTATACTATAATGTGTGTTCTCTGTACAGGGGTCAATGACCCTCACAACCACAAAAACATGCTGAAACTGAGATCTTATATTCCGTGGTGTGAAGGGCGCCGCTCCGGGTTCTTGGAAGACAATGGTCACGATGTCGTTGCCGATGTGTCGCTTCCGTAACAACTGTTGTCTGTTGTTTGGAGTGTACGGAAGCATTGTTGACACATGGAACATGATCTCACAGCCCTGGTATGTGGTGTACACCGAGTACAGGCCAGTTGAATCCGTTTTGTTGTCTAGACCGGCTTTATATTTATCGAAGTCCTTTAACCTGACCGTCTGTCCCAACATCTGCAGGAATTCTACGAAAGCCGGACCCGCTTCTTGATTGTTATACATCTCTTCCTCAGTGGACTGGCCACTCTTGCAGTACATAACACCGACTTTGTAGTGTCTTGTTACGCGTTGCTCGTCCAATCTCAACAACTGTTCCTCTGCACCGCCATTCGTTATTCCAAGTCTACAAACAAACCAAAATATATATGTACTACATATATGTACTATAAATTTAATTGTTGATCATATTTTCATCATTATTTTGTTTTAATAATTATATGATATACAGGGTGACTGGTGAATTACTATCGATATTTGAGGACGTGATATTTGACGATCTTATATGACAAAATAAAAATTAATATAACATAAATATTAATAAACTTCTACGTAAAGTTAACCAAAAGTTATGTAATTAATTACGCATCGTGTGAACACCCTACAGATTAGGTATACACACACCCACACACACACACGCGTCGGCGGCGTGGTGTTGTATCAGCACGCCGCCGCACGCGTCCACACTTGGAACACTTGGAACGTGTCAACACTTTATTTATTTATACGGAAATTTTGTCAAAAATTAAGTGCCTATTTTTTTTACATAATTCGAATGAGAATCATGTACCGAGTATTCTCCTTAAATATTGATAGTAATTCACCAGTCACCCTGTATATCTTTTTGTGCTATACCTCAAACAACTAAGCTGTAATTCCGGTGCAATGTAATCCAATACTTCTTTAGTGTTGTATGTAGCTGTATTGTTGCTAGGTTTGACAGTGGGTAAGGCGTCCTCTAGTATGGAGCCACGTAATGTTAGTAGTTCTGAGGTTCGTACAATGAGCCGGTACTGCCAGGCCAGTTGAGAGGCCGGGGCTGAAGCATCTCCATTACCACGACGAAGTTCTACACGTTCTTTCTTTATAGATATTGCTACCGGACCAAGATTCTCGTCCATACCGAACCAATTCTGATGTGCTGTAAATTTTGCATAAAGTTATTACCATTAACATTAGATATTTTCTCAAATCGTTCGTTTCCATTTAATATCACGTGGAATATTAAGATTTATTTAGACCCCATTTTCATATGAATATAACATTAATGATCTATTTATATATAAAAGAAATTAATGTTAGTTACACTGTTTATAACTCAAGAAGAGCTGTACGAATTTGGCTGAAAATTTAATGGGGAGATAGCTTAGAATCCGGAGAGGATATAGGATATTTAATTAAGTGCCATCGAAAAAGTAAAAAACATTGAGTAAAATCCAATACCTGGTTATTTACGGTCTCTAGGGCTGAACAAAGTTCGCCAGTTCATCTATATATTACTAATTCTGAAATTTACCTAGAAAGCGCGTGCCAAAGACTAGTATAAGATAATTTAAGACCTTATATGGACTTACGGTGTCTATAAAAATAATTCCTGTAGTACAAAGCCCCCTGATCCTGGCTCTCGATAGGAAGAGGCGAGCTTGTTCTAACGAATGGGCATCCGTTCCTCCAATGTGACTGACCGGGCGGAAACTCCAACACGGAAAATCCGTAAGACGCCTTAGGTCGATGCCACCCACCAAATTGACCTGTTATAGCACCTCGAGCTGTCCGGGAACACAGGGATATGCACCTTTCTTCCTCGCCTAGAAATCAGTTAAACAAGTACATATAAATATTTTTTGTCATACGGCATACCAATATACCTACATATTATTACCACTATCAAACAGTTATGGATGTGAAAGAAACCGATACATTTTTTATTTCTAGCAGTCTAATGAAGTATTATGATAAGTTTAATTTTCATTGCATATTTAAGTAATTATATAGAAAGAGTAATGAATTTAAGCCAGTGGTGGCTCAGTGGTTAAAGGGCCCGCCTCTCGTCGTCGAGGGCGCGGGTTCGATCCTGGCCCGGGCAAGTACCAATGTGATTTTTCCGAATCATATGTACTTTCTAAGAATATTTAGACATCACTGATTAATGTTGATTCCCAAAAAAAAAGAGGGTTGATGACAGGCAGGCGGCCGGTCGTAAAAACAAATAGCCAAAAACTATTCAAACTTGTAAGGCAGACCCTGGCTATAGCTGGGAAATTGCCAGGTAGAAGAAGAAGAAGTAATGAATGTGACTTTTTAGACAATACTTCATAAATTATGGCATCAACTAAAAGTATAAATATTTTTCTACCTCTTATCAGTAATCATAAATAGCAAGCAAAATAAAATAGTACATAAATTAATATTTCACAAGTCATCAGATGCAAGCTCTCAGTTTAACCCTTGTTACATACTTAATGCATTAGTCACTAACCAGTCCAATCACACAAGTTCTTAGCTGAAATCTTTATAGTTGGTTAATTTGATCACTTACAAACTACGTTTTAAAATAGTCCTATACATACATATTTTTTATATACATGAAATTGTCTTAAATCAATAATATATGTATATTTATCCTTATTTGATTAGAAATCTTTAAATTACCAAATAATTATTAAAATTTATCTATTTGTTGTATATGATTATAATAATTAAGCTCTGATATAAAAACTGTATGCAAAATGATTAAAGTATAGCTTGTAGGATATTATCATGATATAAATGTGTAATTATTATGAAATAAATAACAATTTTTATTTGAATGGAAAATCCATTGGCACATATGGGAATTGAATTTCTAACTTCAGTAATATTTAGATTTAGTGGTTTTATAAATAAGGATATGACTAATACATTGAGATAAAATTGAAATTTATTCAAAGTAAAATAGTTAAAATTTATATATTACAGCCTCAGAATAAAAATACTATGAATAAAACTATATTTTGGATGTGACTTGCATTTTGTATTTTATATTACATTATTAACCTGAGCTCTATCTTTAAGGTATTGGCATTTCCTTATAGATTTTACAATGTCATGTGTGACTCTTCTGAAATATATACAGAGGGATTTGTGAATGAGCAAGGTCGCTACTAAATTCTAAGAATTTTGTCACTGCTGCAATCAATCATTGTGCAGTACAAGTCTGACCTCATCATTATAACCAAAGTTACAGAAAGATGTATTAGAGACTGTAATTTAAAATGTATTTCTCTTAATCCGGCCCCTGTATAATCCAATAACAACTGTAATCCTACATGATCCATTAATGTTGTATATTTTTTATACTATCTTTGTTAACACATGTTGGAAGTACTAATAACTTGCACTCACTATCACTATTGTTCTAGAAGAGTAGTGTACTATGTAGATTCTGATTGCTTAGATTTGACTAAAAATTATGAATACAGCATTAAGATGATTTAAAATTATTGTTTTTTTTTCAGTGTATGCATTAGTTTATACTAAAGTAAAGTTATTGTATGCTTTTATAAGCTTTATAATAATAAATGAGCTCTGCATTATATTGTTTAATGTATTAACTTTTATATAGATAATGAAATATGAATTGTCCTTCAGAGTGCATATGTATAAAGTGTAGAATCTTATCAATTGATCAGTAATAATTGTATTGGATTACATGTTGTTTTAGTATGAAAAATTAGGGTTTTATAGGGTGTAATAGGCAGTACTCTATTATAATTTGACAAATTTTGAAAGTGTGAAACAACCCTAGAAATGTTTCACAGTTTATCAGGGATCAGCTTTGTAACTACTTTCATCAATTTCCCATTTCCTTTAGATAATGTATGGAAAACTTATTACATAGATAACTTTATAATAAAACAATAATAATGAGTCAGATATTTTTAAATTAAATCATTAAATGTAGAACTTGTTATATAACCAAAACCTAATTATGAATGCTTAACAAGAATTGTAATCATGAAATTTTTTCTTACCTCCAAGTTCATTTCTAAAGAAAGGGCAGCTGTCAATCAATTCATTTGATCGACCATCGCCTGTATCAGGAACAGCATCTTCTCCGGGTGGCAGGCCTCGAGTTGCAAGCAATGATGCAGCAGAGGCCCCTGTTGTTGTGTTCCTACGTCTGCTCAACAACGCCCCACGGATTTCAGCAGCATAGCTCAAGTTTGCCATGAGAGATTGGCAATCATAGTGTGCAAATTGCTTCCTCTTATTAATATCTGCAACTGAGGATATTATGCCGTCTTCTGATCTCGTGCTCACGGGCGCTGCGCCGCCCCAGAGCTTGTTTAACTTGAGACGTGCTTTGGGACTAACACTAGCTCTAGGAGTGGGACCGTCAGCGTGATCGCTTGCTATAACTTCAGCAAAGCGGTCCGTCACACGACTCAGACTCGACGGCTTCTCCGGGACGTTTAAACTATAATTGTGAACCATGGCTGGAAGCCGATCACTGGCTGCGCTTATCACGTCGATTGATCCGTGGCTGCCATATTCACGACGCAAACCATTACCAGTGGGATGTTCTGCGTATATCAAGTCAAGGCTCGAATTACTGCGGTACATAGCATCTCTAATTTCCTTTCTTCGAAGATTATCCGGAGCATACATGGCATTATTTTGACAGCTTATAACGTATTTTCAACACTACGGCGGTATTCGGTTATCCTAAATATTTTTCTTGTCATTCATCATTTAAACTTTCATTGAGATATTGTTCACAGAAGTAGTTAAAAGTTTTTACATACTTTACACTTGTTTAATAATAATTACAGTTAGTCGAAAGTAGAACAAAACTCTGGTAATTAGGAAACGAATAACGTTTAATAAATACCACTCTAAAATCCGATAATTAAATTATAATTGATTAAAAATAATATTACAAACGTAATTTATTAAAAATAAGCACTTTCGATGTATCGGTAGTACATTGAACACATAAAAAAATATTGCAAATGTAGATTGCATTGTACTGCAGGTAGGCAAGTTAATTCACACAGATGATTAAAGTGTAATGTAAAATATTCTTAGTAGTCATTTTTGTTTAATATTATCTGTTTAAGTTATCTTGAAATATAAAGGATAGTTTGTAAAATGACTAATAGTCTAATACGAAAATTGATTGCCATTTTGGGTGTGTTTATATTTATCGGAGACCTAATCAATATCTGCATAAGATTTTAATCAAAGTTTTAGTAATATAAAATACTACACTGCAATAAATCATTGATATCAATAGTAACTATTTACACTCAATGTACACCTCTTGCAATTTTGTACTTTTTCTACCTTTATAAAATTAACATCTTAAAGATTAAAATATTGAAATTCAAATGAATATGTTTTGAATCTGATGGTTACGAGAAATTTATAACTTATATTAAATAATATATTTATAATTTATATTAAATAATATATTGCATAAGGAATAATAAAATATTCGGGATTTTATTATTATTTTGAATAAAAACACATAACATTAATAAAGAACAAAAATGTACATATAATTCTACATACTTAAAACCCAATAGATTAAAAATAGTAGGTACCTATTACGTGATATTTGTCACTCTGACAGATTTGACATTAGTCAGGTTTCAAAAGGGTGTCGATCCGCTAAGCCTCAATATTATAAATTACTCTGTTAATTTCTAACTAATCGAAGTAAGTATTTAAAGTTATGAATGTTATTTAAGTTTATATTGTATAAGCTTATAGCCCCAAACTCCAAAAAAAATGTTTTATACCTGCAAGCTTTTTCGTTTAAAATTATTACATAATCTATGTATTCAGCTTTAAACTTGTATATTAATACATAAAGGTTATATCATGAATAACTTTTATAATTTCTGAATACTTTTTGGAATATTAACTTATCTTTTTTTGATATATATTTTTTATTGAATAACTCGTATTGTATTTTAAAAAACATACGTTTAGAGGTTAACAAATTCTCTTCTGGACTTGATTGTCCGGTCGTTGATACATATGTTAAGAAAAAAATTGTATCGTATTTATAATTTGAAATTATTCCATTCTAGAATGGCTCTTGCAGTCCGAAGTGTATTGAGAACTGTCTCGAGGAGGCTGCAAGCCCGTACTTATGCGGATGCACCCAAAGAGGGAGAAATGGCCTTCACTTTTGCTGCTGGCAATAAAGTAATGTATATTTATATAATAATTTATTGATTATTGATATATACAATTTTAGATGTGACATGGGATCAAGCACACAGTCCTATTAGAAACATTTTAGTGAATATTGGAAGAAAATACCACAAAAACTTCTTTGAATTATAAAGTCAATTTATAAAAAAAAAAACTATTTGCATAGCTTAATTGGTAGTGTTCAATATTGTATCAAGTTTATAGCAATATCTTATTAATTGTTCAAGCAATCAAAAAGTGAAGTTTGTCACATATTTGAATGTAAATATAAAAGTTAGTTTTTAGGAAGCTATGCTTTTTTATCATTTTTAAATCACATAATATCGATATTTCTGTTCTTTTACTTAAACCATGATCCAAATGAATGAATGAATGAAACCATGATCTAAAAGAATCAAAACGTAGGAATTTTGGATATATAAAGTATAAAAAAAAAATAATAGTGTCCAAAAAATTATGTTTCTATTACAAATGTATATTGGAAAATCGTAGATTTCATTATATTATTTGTTATATTTATTTGTTTGACAATAATATTGATTTTAAGAGCCACTCAATATATTTTTGTCATATAGAAAATATTAAAGTTTTCAATCTTTTTGCAATAATACATTATTAATTTCTTATTTAAATACTAAAATTACATCAATACATTTATTTACAGGTGTTCTATGACAAGCAGGTTGTGAAACAGATTGATGTGCCATCATTCAGCGGATCTTTTGGTATTCTACCGAAACATGTTCCCACTTTAGGTAATATATCCTTCAATCACTATAAGAATCTGCTATAATGTTAATCTAAGATATAGTAGATAATCTATTATTGATATAAAACATTAACTAATCTATCAAATTATGGAATATGCTCCCACATGAAATTAGAATGTCACAGTCTTTAAATATATTTAAAAGTCAAGTCAAGCTTCATTATATGTCACTGTGACTACCTACTCCTTTTTTATATTTTTGTATGCATGTAATATGTATGTATGTTTGTATGTATGTTTATGTATTTTACGTTTTTGTATATGTATATGTCATAATATGCACTATCCTCTACACAATTTGTTATCCTCATCAGTTGGGTTGCCTGTAAGAGATTGCTTTAAGTGATAAGGCCGCCCTTGCCTTCAATTTTCTGTATTTATATGTAATGTTTTTTCCTATGTTATTGAGTGCATTAAGGTATATCTCTTCTTCTTCTTCTTTGTTGTAGTTAATTTTATTTCATATTTCCTTTCAGCTGTTCTAAGACCTGGTGTTGTCACCGTACTTGAAAATGACGGAAAACAGAATAAGATATTTGTTTCCTCAGGCACCATCACAGTTAATGATGATTCCTCAGTTCAAGTAAGGCTTGCAATTTCTGTATCTCATTTTATAAATTATTATAAACTATTTTTTAAGTGAAGTAGATTAATCTATTTGACTTTCACAAGGCTTTTTCAACAGATATAAAAGAAATATATATGTTTACTATCTTTTCGCCCGCAACTTCGATCGCGTGGAATTCGGTTATATGGTGTTTCCAAGAGAACCTTAAAAAATCTGGGATAAAAACTATCCTATGTTCTTTCTCAAGGTCAACGCTATCTCTATACCAAATTTCATTAAAACCAGTTCAGTGGTTTAGGCGTGAAAGCGTAATAGGCAGACAGTCAGAGTTACTTTCGCATTTATAATATTAATAGGGATGACTAGTTAAATTATAATGAATTTAAGATCAAAAAGAAGTATTCCTATGCTTTGAAAATTAGCTCTGAATTAAGACAAGTTTATACTTCAGTAATTAAGAGTCAATTAGTAATTAATAATTGCTCAAAACATAGGAATGAATATAGTAAGTTAAGAATATTTATAGTTTTTCATAGATCCAAGGTCTTTGTATGTTTATTAAATTTTTGATTTAGATATTCATAAGGGCAACTTATTTGTGAGTTTTCAGAGAAACAAGTTTGATTATGGATTATTGTATTAAGTAATTATTTAGTTAATATGTAAGTTTTATGTGTGGTTGTTGGAAATAAGTATGGCTAAAATAAAACATTTCTTGATGCCATGTTGTTCCATTTTGTGAAAGAATCCTTTAAATATTCAGTTTTTGAATCATGGCAGAAATTTAATAATTACTATAAATATGTAATACTATTATGTAGGTTCGGAAAATGTTTGTAATTTTATTTATTGGTGTGTAATTGCAGGTGCTAGCGGAGGAAGCTCATCCCCTGGAAAGTTTGGACCGTGCTGCGGCTCAAGAGGCGCTCAGCAAGGCACAGTCTGAACTCAACAGTGCTGCTAATGAACAGGTGAAACAAATATATATATATATATATATATATATATATATATATATATATATATATATATATATATACAGCCTTGGCCAAAAGTATTAGGCACCCCAAAAAAAACTTTATAATTATAAATCAAAACAACTTTTACTTTTTAAAGCGATTTATTAATATTAATAACATATTAAAATAAAATAAGAAAACTTAAAATCTATTTGGTCCACCTTTAGATTTAATCACTGCTGCAATTCTATGAGGCATGCTCCAAACAAGTTTAGTGCAGTCATGCCTTGTAATGGCATGCAATTCTTGCACCAATGCATTTTTAATGCCGTTTTCCATGTAATGCTGTACTCTTTGAGTCTCCGCTTCAAAAGACCCCAAAGATGCTCGATTGGGTTAAGATTTGGGAACTGTGCAGGCCAATCCAACAAAACAATGTTGTTGTCAATAAACCAGCGCATTTTATTCGCTGATTTATGACAAGGTGCATTGCCTTGTTGGAATATGACTCCCTCTAGGTTGTTGTCGCTGAAAATATTCGTTAACGAAGGCGCAAGCGCAGTCTCAAGTACTTCTATGTACTTTTCACTGTTCATGCGACCTTCGCAAACAAACATTTCGCCAACCCCGTCGGTAGCCATGCACCCCATGATCATTATATTTAATTCGCCGTGCTTCACTGTTGGTACGACGCAATCTGGATGGTATTCCTCACCTACACCTCGCCTCCCGAAGGTCACACCTGGTGTTCCAAATACCTATTAAGGAAAGAAAAAATAAGGTTTTTTAAATGATCATAACCTTCAATATTTAAGGGACATAAGTTAGTCCTCATTATTATTCATAATTAAAAGAATAATTTTAACTTACCTCAAAGTTTGACTCGTATGACCACATCACATTGGACCAATCTTCCTCGGTATAATGTTGGTACCGTAGAGCCCACTCAAGACGTTTTCTTTTGTTTGTCTCTGAAAGCCAAGGCTTCTTCCTAGCTTTACATCCCTTTAGGCCGGTTTCGCCAAGTCTTCGTCTAACTATACGAGCGCTTATTGGCTTTCCAACCTCTTCGGACAAGCCAGCAGCCAGCATTGAAGAAGTTTTCTTCCGATTTTTCATCGATTCGCGTATCAATTTTCTATCCTCGTGCTTCGTAGTGACACGTTTCCTGCCTGTTTTTGGCTTATTATAATAAGTACCAGTCTGAGCAAACCGTTTGATGGCAGATTGTACAGTGCAACGCAAACATTTCACCAACTTGGCTATTTCTTTTTGCAACTTTCCTTCTTCAAATAAAAGTGATTTTCATAGTTAATTTCACTCCTTTCCGGCATTTTTTTAAAGAATTAGATATTAATGTATTTACTTAAACAGAAACAAAGGGTGGTTAACTCTTTAGATGGTAAAATGCTACTGACCAAATATTGACCGATAAGACCGCAAGAAAACATAATACCTTTGCTTTCGGTTACCAGGTGTTTTATGACCTTATGAATATTCTGCTCACCTTTCCAGGTAATGGTTATGATCCCCAAAAAAATTTTATCCAAGAAACGAATTTATTTATTATTAGAAAAGTAAACATTAAATATGTATTTTTAAGGGGTGCCTAATACATTTGGCCAAGGCTGTATATATTCTATGTGAATTTAATGTTTTCTGAAAGTTTTTATTGTATGAAATATGGTAGTGGTGGAGAGTATTCTATACTTGAGTATACATTATCTATCAGAACTTCCATAAACAATATGAGATGGAAATTTGAACTGACCCAACCCTTAATCAGACCTAGTATGGATTATTATCAACCACTTAGGTAATTAGAGTTTTATAGCAATCTTTGTCTTTTTTTTTAATTCATTAAACCCTAATTTATTAGATTACCAATGTTTGTACCTTTTGTATGAAGCTAAACAATTTATATTTGGAAAAACCTTTCTTCAAAGAAAGTGGTAATTTCATGCCCGATACCCATCTGACAGTAGCATAATAAGGTTTCAATTATACAAGAGATGATTTTGAAGTGAAAATACAATTGTAAATTATGAGGCTTTCTATAACAACTATACAGTTCCTAATTAAAAATAGGGATAAGGGAACAAATTATAAAAAGACAAAGAGCTCCTTAACAGGCATAATGAATAATACAACCATTTCTTCTGTGTTAATTTTAATATTTTTTAAAGAACAGAAAAGAAGTATACATTGTATAGGTGAAAATTAAACACTCCATTTTTAGAAATATGTTTTAATGCGGGTATAGATGGGGCCTAATTTAGGTTTAAAGTTCGTTTCTTTTATTATCATAGTATTGTATTTAATAATATTTTATGTTTAATATAAAAGAAACTACGCTTTCTCTGAAGCTTTGTATGGCTTGTGCTAAAAGTTAAATCAATTTCCAGGCCAAAGCGGAGGCTGCTATTGCTGTTGAAGTAGCCGAAGAAATCGTGAAGGCCGTGTCTGCGTAATTTTTGTCAAGTGTTTAAAAGTGTACTAAAAACATGTATTTAATGATAACAGTAAAATAATAAAAGATCATTTCCTTAGTGTATTCTGTTAATTATTTTTCTTTGTCGTATATCGAGGATGTTTGAAATAAAAGTCGAATTCGTAGTTGAAATATGAGTACTTTATTCAACACAAATCAAAAAACACTTTGGTACAAACAGTTAATCGCAATTAGCAATGGGTTTTTGCGTTAATTAAAAAAAAGTATTCTCACAAGCCGCAAAACTTAACTCACCATTAAGCGAAAAACATCAAAAAATTTGGTTCACAAAATCAATCATTTTGAAATGCATTATTTTTTAGCGCTTAACGTGTCGATTATTTTAATTTTCCATTAAATAGCTACATTATAATTTCGAATATCCTTATTTAAAATGTTATTAGAATTTTAACTAGATTAATCCAAAGATTCTAATTGGAAGGTTTTTTAAGAAGAGATCGGTTGCTAGGAAGTCGCGAGGAACCTATCTAGAAGCCTACTTCAAAAGCTTACACAACGATGACACAACATATAAGAAGACATCTAAAAAAGGACACGAATGTCTTAAAACTACACATTGCATACAAGATTATAATATTGATATTGAATAATAAAATCCTTATCATATTTGGGGGTAATAATTGTATTTCAGTTTCAATCCTGAATCAGTTGTTACACTTTAGAGATCGGTACCTTTAGTACGTGTTTTGACTTAACATTTACGGTTCCAATGTTTATCGTTTTTGAAATCGTCAGTGACTTTTCAATATTAGCGAATGAAGCTTTGGAACTGTAGATGTTCAGTAAATCGGTGAAACTTATTGTGTTTTATTACGTATGGATTAAATTGTTACGGTTATTGGGTACTTATTATAATGTATTGAAAGTTTATAATGCATAGTACTTACATAACTAGCTACAGGTTACATAGTTTTTTTTTGTTTAAAGAGTTGATTAAACGCTAATAAGATGCCTTAAATACTAATCTTACCTAAAGAGTTAATGTAAATCAAAATGAAAACATCAAAAATCATTACTAAATAATACCTAGCAATAACATAAATGGTAAAAGCATTTCATGAAAAATAATGTAACATATAAACGGAAGCATTGTCACATATCTTAAATTAGGCAAATATAAATAACGTTTGTGTTAGTCACAATAAAAAAAAATGGGTTAAAAAAATTTAAAATATCACAATATTACATGTTGAGCTTAATTTAAAATTGGAACCTCAATAATATTCCGTCCCAGAATCAAGCACGTTATTGTACTTTATCGCACTTTAAATTAAGCTAAACAAATAAGATCAAAATAAATTTAACGCCATCGGACAAGCGTACGGAGTCGGTTTGCCGGCCGATAAATATTGTCAGGTATTGTTATCACGTCACTTCTAAAGGATATATCAATTTGAATAAACTACCACAACCATAATTTTCCGTTTCACATGGTAACACTACGTTAAGTGACGTGCGGGGGCTACTAAGTAATGGCGGCCATCCAACTCAGTACGCAACGGCACCGATGACTAAACGCATTCATGTAGCACATATGTGCGTTAATGTTTAATGAAAATAACGGAACTGAATATAAAATGGGATGAAAACACACCGTTAAAGTGAATGATGCTTGCGACCACGTTTCTGTGAGGCTGATGCAACTTAACTGCGGAAGCGAAGCGGTATTGAATGCACTAAAATTTAAATTTCGAAGCCTGCCTCAGCAGAAGCGTGGTTTTGGTTTTTAGTGTGGCTTACGGGGTGTTTTAATGTGTAAGGTGTGTCGAGTGTCGGGTGTCGGGTCGGATGTCGTGTCGGGGGTTCGGTTTACAAGTTACACTGCCACAGTATCGTAGGCTGTGAGTCCCCCCCGCCCGTGGACTGCTTGCTGGGGGATTGGGGTGGTTGCTTCTGGTCTGAAATACATAATACAGTCTCTATTAATACTTACATAAAGACAGATAAATAGCATATGGTTATGAATTTTTTTTATGAACTTTATTCATGGGATTAAAGTAATTTTTTATATCACGAATAGAAAATCTAGTGACACAAATTATGGATGGTAAAGGTAATTTACGACAATGATATGAAAATTTATAATTGATGCAGACTTTTGTTTATATACTGCAATGAAAATCGTAATAGATCAAGGATAATAGCCTTGGGGGGATGGTTAGTAAAATTATCGATTAAGCCCCGGCTATTATATTGTCTTTAAGTTTATTCTAAACATATTTTATTCGTGATCCTTTGTCACAAATGGCTATCGATAATTTTATTATGCTATGGTTATATATTCTTACTAAGAAGCTTCATATAGTATGGTTATATGGGTGTTGCAGTATTTACTTTCTCAAAACAAAAATCATATTATTTTGGGTATAGGTGGACTAATGTTACATATATTCCAAAATAAACATAATCCGTAACACGGAATGCCTAAAATATGATTAGCAAAAATAAATAATTTAGTGCAATGGTTTAAAAGTGTTAGCCACATAAGATTATTACAAAAACAAAAATCATTTCAGGCAAAAATTAAACAACATTCAGCAATTGGTTATTCCGTTTTTGACATACATTGACTTACTGTTTCCTGTAGACCATGGATGCAGAACATAACACATGCTTAATACCGGCATAGACTATTCATTTAACTCTATGTGTCCAAGATACTGTGACACAAAATAGCTCACACACAAGGAGACGGTAATTAGTAACTTTAAAAAATATATTATCATATATTAGTTGATATTTATAACTTTGTGCAAAGTGCATTTATCAAAATTGAATTTAAAAATTGTACGTAATCAAGTATATTGATTTTTTTATATAATCTGTATTAATCAGATTAAGGTTTGATATAATCTGTGTCCATGTATTACGGTCTGTTTGTACTGACCTGTCAATGAGTTTCCTCATTTCGTCGCTGTGCATACCATCCTTGACAGTGTGGGCCCTTACTGCAACAACACACAAGTCACGACGCATCTAAACTAGTCACGATACTGGAGCCCGACTGCTACTAATCATTCCTTCCCGACACTCCATACATTTAATATTTTATTTATTATCATTGTGTCACACAGATAATAAATAAACAGATAATAAAATTTTGTTATTTTTTTTTTGTTGCCTTCGAGTGTAGGTCCAGAATATTCAAACATGAACTAGTATCTACAGAACCATTTCAGATTAAATTAAATGTTGTTAACACAATCACGTCTAAGCAGTATCGATTAAGAAATTTATAAAAGAAATTATGATTTCTCCTGTACTTCATCTAAGTACGTGGTAAAATGAATAATGATAACCCTTACCGTCCGTTAAAATTATTTAAGATAATTGTTATTTGAAGTTAATTTATTCGTATTCATTTTACCACGTAGTCGAAGGGTGAAAATAAACATTTATAAGAACATGAAAAATTTTGAAAATAAAGAAAGCCAATTGCTATAGAACTTCTAGAAGCTTAGGACATTTTGTTTTGTTGTAACGGAGAAACGTGCATGCTGTAAGTCACAAGTATTAAAAACATAATAAAAAACTATTTATTCAAATCGCTTTACCGTCTTCTGTTCAGTCGACACCCGCGTGCGCATGGATTGATTTCAGAATAAATTTAGTTTAAGGATAATTTCTTTTCAAACTATATCAATGGTCATATAGCCAGTATTTGATGTTAAAGAGATATTCCTATAAGTTAACAATGATGACGTCATACATAAGACTGAAAGGACATTAAATGACGTCACACCAATATATATATTTCTGAATTCAGTTGGTATGTCTCATACCGGGGTAGTTGCGAGGTTGGTCACATTCAGCCTCGGAGATCTCGTTGGAGTCCTTGCTCTCGTTGAAGGATGATGAGCAGTTGTTGTCGGTGTTGTTGCGGGGTGGCGGTGGTGGGGGCTCGGGGGAGCTGCCGCATTTACGGGTTCCTGGATAATTGACATAAGATAAATATACTTTATTGTACACTGAAACAAAAAAAAATACAAGAAGCAACACAACAAAATAGAAAACACGGTACAAAAGGCGGTCTTATCGCTAAAAGAGCGATCTCTTCCAGACCACCTTTGGATAGAGGACATTGAATACTAAGAAAGGGGTTCGGAGGTGTACACCTTTTAGGTAAATCATATATACACAAACATAACATATCTACATAACATACATTTATACCATTAATACATGTTATATATAACATATAAACACGTGTATAAACATATATAAATATATAATATAAGCAGTTCGAAGTTTTAACAATCTTCTAAGACCACTTTTAGGATAGGAAGATATTTAAAAACGAAAGTTGTTAACATTTTCGAAATGTCATCAAGTTTAACAAGGTTTCTATAGATATAAATCAAAGATTTTGTGTCGAAACCGATACATATCTTCAATCAGGAATTCTGTCAATATAATCTAGTCTTATATCACATTTGAAGAAATTGTTAGATAAATAATTGTAATAGGATTATTGTACTCTATGTTTATTCTTCTTCTACCTGGCAATTTCCCAGCTATAGCCAGGGTACTATGTTTATTGTACTCTATGTTTATTGAAAGGTATATCATACCAATGCTGGGTCGTGATCCATAATGGTCAGAGTATGGGGTGCCGTATGCTCCAGTGTATTGTTCGTCCTCGGGGGCGCAGCACGCGGGTTCATCGTACTCGGGACCGCAGGCGTACATTGGGCGAGAGTAGCGGGCACGCTGTACATAAATATTATGGGTCTATGAAATGTCCGGTTATAGTAAACTCTCTACTAATAATATAAATGCGAAAGTAACTCTGTCTGTCTGTCTATCTGTTACGCTTTCACGCCTAAACCACTGAACTGATTTTAATGAAATTTTGTGCAGAGATAGTTAACCTTGAGAAAGAACATAGGATAGTTTTTATCCCAGACTGTTTAAAGGTTCTCATGGAAACGCGATATAACCGAACTCCACTTGGTCGAAGCTGCGGGCGGAATGCTAGTCACTTATAATTACGCAAATTAGTCCTGTGTAATATGACAACATTGTAATAACAAATTATCTACAAAGTAAGATATTCGACGGCATCAACAATTACGACATTAGCACATATTAATATTAAGTTTTAGCTGTTGATCCTTTAGGCGAACAGATTTTCGAGAAATCTGTAAAATCGACTATTCACAAAACCTATGAAGAGTATTAAAGCAAGATTAATGTTTAATCAAAAATTTTTACGTACTTTACAATGAATGGGACAAAAATACTCTACGTATGAGTTCATACAATATCAGGATGTTCTTATGTAATATTAATTGGATATTCTCACATATTGGTCTTCTTCAGCGCAAGTGGCAGGGTCGTCATACTCGGGGGCGGTGGAGTAAATAGCGCTTTGTCCTCCTTGAGAGTTCTTGCGGGCGTAACGGCTGTTAGCACGGGGCTACAACATAACATGCATCGATATAGATTGCTGCTTAAGTCCCCTTTGTTTTTATATAAACATGTCTTATATAGAAACGAATGTGATTTTATGTTTTGATTCATTATTAATATTTACATACCCTATGCTTAACTACTTTGTTATAATTATAACACACTTATGGCTATATAAAGAACCTACGTGTTCTTTTACTGGGAAAGTTATCAAAGAAAATTAGAAAATATTGTTTTGTCTAAAAATATACGATCAATACAAATACATACATATATGTATATACGAATTACATACGTACGTATTAGATCATTATATATGTATTAATTATATGGATGACTGATGATGATTTTTTTTCTTGTAATTTTGTATATTGGATCTTAAGATTTTTTCTTTAATAGTTATTTAATTATCACTTAAATTCAACAGGTATACAATAAGTTTTATTTTTTCTTTGTGTGAATGTTGTGTACATCTGTAATTGTCACTCATATCAGGTCCTAGATTTTTTTTCTATTTTATCTGTTGTTTATGTGTGCTGAATATGTGTGATGTTGACTGTTGATGTACCTTTTAAATAAATAAAAATAAATGATATTGTAATCATTACCATGCTCTGTGATCCGGCTCGTGAGTGCGCAGGGTGATGTGGGTGAGGATGTGGGTGCGCGAGGGTGCCGGCGTGGGATGGATGATGGTGAGGGAACGCGATCGCCTTGCTTGGGTCCATCTCTTCACGGAAACCTAACAGGTGGAATGTCGCGTAGGGGCAGATCTCGTCTTCCATACCTGAAAAGTCAATTATTATTTAAATACATTTAAATTAATGATGCATAATTGAATTAAAAACCCACACACAAACTTGAAATATCAAACTTGATCAATAATGCCCGTATAATACAATTAACATGTTTGAGAACGCCGTTTAAAAATATTCAAATGTTTCAACTTATTTGAAGTCGACAAAATAAAAAACAAATATAAATAAATAATTTTAGCAAATAAAAGTAATTGATGTTAGTAATAAGCGGGTTTTGGGTGTCAGTAAAACATGCGAGCATTTATACAATATCAACTTACCGTCACATTGTTAGTAAGTCACTCCTTAATTAAACTATCTGGTGGTATCAGTACATTATAAAGCGAGCATTGGAATATATATTAGAAACGAAACGTTAAGAAAATGGTAAATATGGCCCATATCGACAGATTTTATGTCTTCAAATTCATAATATTTTGCCATCAGGTTTCGTTTCTAATAATCTACGTACCTGTAGAGATAGTTTCACCAGAATTCGTCCTTCTCATGCGTCGTATTCTCTCGTAGTGATGTCTGCGAGGGTCCCACGTGGAGTGCGCGCCCACTGAACCATACTACTGTTACACATGCGCTAAGTACGCCCTACACCGACACAATATCTCGCTTTTCTCTTGTTTATTTTGGTCAGTAATTAACTTTTACTTAATTTGAAATATTTCGGCCAGTTTTACATTTAAAGCGAGATATTATGTATTTATGGCACCATACACCATTGATATTTTACAGCATACCGATGTTTTGTAAGCTTTATATTATAAAGACAGAAATAATAATAAAAAAATATAATGTGGACAATAAACGAAAGTGTAAGCACTAAATTCTAAAATTATATAATAAGAATTGGATCAAAATGGTAACATTTATAAAAAAGCTTAAAACAATTAAGACAATAACCAACTTTGGATCAGACTATTAGGTACTAAATTTTACCATGACTACGGGAATAACTTAAGGTGTAAAAAATAGTCTTCACTTACTAACAATCGGGGGAGCATTATTATAAAGACAAAAACCATAAAAAATAAGTTAAAGAAGCTAAAACAACAATTATTTTTAAAATAATAGGGACAGCTGATTCTTTGCTTTCGTGCATAACAAATTGAAGCTAGAAAAATAAGCTTAAAAAATATTCAAAAAAGGAACACCTTCACCTGAATAATACAGTTCCCTTTAAACTTATTAATAAAGGAATAAAGTTGACAATCATATCCAACCTCCTGTAAACCGTTACTGGCAACCACGCCTGCGAGAATCAAAAAAAAAACTTACTAATAACAGCCTGACGCTTGACGCGGTCGCACGTGTTGTAGTTAGAGCCGGGTACAGGGGGCAGTTTGCGGTTGGGAGGCGCGATGTATCCCAATTCATCACGGAGTCCACCTCGTTTGTCAAGAGTACCACCAGCGCCTCCCATAGCTGCTCCGGAAGTATTGTAAACAGCGTCGTCTATGGCAGTACAGAATAATTTTGAAATAAATAATATATATGTCACCACAGCTGGTGCATTTGGTCGAACGTAAGTGAATTCGAAATTCGAACGATGCGGTATTACTTTCTAGTTAGCAATTGATTTGAATCATTTATGTTATAATTTTCTGTTATTTATATAACAGAAGACTTTTTTGTTGTACATATATTTTGTAGGTTTGAAACGTAAAGCAAGCCGATAGCATTTCTTACTGATTTGTTTAAATATATGTAGCAATATTCTAATGAGCTTTACTGAGCGAGCTTTACTTATTCGCATATATACAGCTTTTTATATATCCGGTGTATGGTATACATTTAATCATTTAAAATACTCAATATTACATATACAGGGTGTATGAAAAACTGTGTCAACCCTCTTAACTATGTTATCAGTATCGATAATGTAACACAATAAAACAACTTACATTTACAAACTCTTCAATAAAAATAATAAAATTAAGTATTAAATGATTATTATATGTAGAGTAACAAAATGTTTGTAAGCCCTAGTATAACACGATGACACTCAATGACGTCATCACAGCTGCTGCGCTACTAGTGACGACCTTGAAGTTACTTTCACATTATTGAAAATATCGATATTTAAAAAATCATAGCAATAAATAAATATTTAATATTCATATTATTTCGATACTTATTTTGATATATCAAACATTAATATTATGTTTGATTGTAAAACACAATTTTTAACACAAATAGATTAACGATTTATCCTAATAATACCACATATTATGTAGTTAATTTACCTGAACAAGTTTCAAATTATAACATTTATTATTAATAAAAGCTATTTTAAATGAAATTATTTTAATGTGAAAAGCATAACTGTTTATAGCAATATTGAAAATGTCGATGGAATATTTATCGATATAACTAATTTTTACACTTTCAATTCTCTATTCGAACAACTAACAGAATAGTAATAATAACGCCGGCGGCCCGTCGCCTGCGGTCAATGGTCACGCATGCGCCGTCGATTTAAAACTTATTTAGACTATGCACTGTAACTGACCTCTGCTTGATATTTTTTAAGTTATACTATTTTTTTATAATAAGCTTATACTTATATGTATACATGCCTTCAAGGGTTGACACAGTTTTTCATACACCTGTATAATACGGGGTTTAAATTAAGGAGTATATTCTTCTAAAAGGACTAACGAGTTTGCAAAATCATAAAAAATATGATTCATGGGGCATGCGGTTTGATTATGAACTGTATTGATTGTTTTTGGTACGTGATAAAAATAATAAACAAGCGGTGTCATGCCACCATACATACAGTACTCCTTCTGACCTCGCAGACGATGTGGGGTGTTCCTTCTAGCGAGAGTCAAACAGATAACAACCATCCCCACTATAAACACAACTATGGTGGCCAAGATCGGTACTAATACTTCAGGTTCCAGCCACGCCCTCACCCACGGAGGCAGTTCTTTATCCTCAGCATTACCGGGCAATGGAGCAATAGTTCCTGGAAGTAAATAATTCAGTAACACCACATACCTTTGTGGTGGTGATCCCTCGCCCCTCGTACGACGCAAACGACCACAATCGCAATAATAATGACGAGTATAGCGGCCACTACTGGTACAATCAAGTTAAGGTGGGATAGTATTATCTTCAGAGTTTGTTCCGGGGTCAATGTACCGTCTCCAACTTCGCGTGCCGGTGCTATGGTACCTGAAATGCGGGCCGCCATTATAATAATACGAAATCTTAATATTTTAAAAGTTATATAACACAGGGCTATGCATTTCAGGTACCAATTGCATATTAAATATGATTGAAATTGTATGGTAATAATAGATATTGTAATAGATTAATTATTATAAAATAATATAAATATATATTATATACGTATATATATGTACCTCCGGTCATAGTGAGAGTAGCGAATTCGTATTCGGCGACGTTGAATCCAGCGTTGTTGTGGGCAGTGATCCTAAGTACGTACCAAGTGGCGGGTTCGAGATCTAGAATTAAGGTAGAAGTAGTACATATTAAACACTACTTGAATAGATTATTGCACGGATTATTATAGATATATCTTCATATATAGTTCTTACCAAGTACAACAAAGTTTCCACCAGGTTTAACGGCGTTGGAGATCTGATTCCATTCAGCAGCACCCCTGTAAAAATAAAAATGTAAATAATTTTTATGTTTTATAATTGACTGTCTCAAACACAAATTGTCTTATTCGTATCAAGGTTTCTATTATGTTAGAATATTTAAAGGAAAACAAAGGTAAATATTAAACTCTCCTTAATACAAGTAAATTTTAATGGAATACAATATTACCGTTTTAAGGTATTACTGTATAGCTTAACTAGAATTAAACCATGGATTAATAGAACAGATATTAAGCATCTGTTGAATTTGGATAAACATTCAAACCCTCAAAAAAAGTTATATTAAGTATATACAGGGTGACTGGTGAATTACTATCGATATTTGAGGACGTGATATTTGACGATCATATATGACAAAATAAAAATTAATATAACATAAATATTAATAAACTTCTAAGTAAAGTTAACCAAAAGTTGTGTAATTAATTACGCATCGTATGAACACCCTACAGATTAGGTATACACACACACTCACACATACGCGCGCGGCGGCATGTTGTTGTATCAGCACGCCGTCGCACGCGTCCACACATGGAACAGTTGGAACGTGTACACACGTTATTTATTTTTACGGAAATTTGGTCAAAAATTAAGTACCTATTTTTTTTACATAATTCGAATGAGAATCATGTACTGAGTATGCTCCTTAAATATTGATAGTAATTCACCAGTCACCCTGTATAGGTAAATCATATCTATAATAATATTGTTAGCTCCAAGTAAAATTTTGAGATAATATTTAAAACAAGATTCCAACTCCGAACTATCGTATTCTAAATATGATATTTTGAGGTTGCTAATATTTTCTTTCTATTTTGTATTCTAAATTCAAAATGGAATTCTAAATTCAAAAATCGTATACAAACTTCTTCTTGTTTTCTACGACGAAGTGGCTCATAGGGCAGCCTCCGTCCAGCCATTGTTTCAAGTGTAGAGTAACAGATGAAGATCCCACTTCGATGAAGTCAGCGGCGCGTGGTACGGGAGGCTTGGAGCCGCGAGTACGGGCGATCACCACGTCTGACGCTTCACCGGTTCCAATACTGAGGATAAACATTATTTTGTATTATATGTATTATAGTCTCGGAATAGTTCCTCATATTCGTTTATATATAAGTATGTCAAAATTCCAAAATTACTAATCAAACTATGACTGATGACATATCGAATATATCTAAGATTTTCGCGAGTACTCATTTAAATGAAACTAATATTTTCGGATTTACTACGCGTTTTTTATTTTTGAATATAAACTAAATACTTTCGATTTTCGATTGACGTTTCGGCTACTTTACAGCAACCGTGATCACCGTGATATCGTAAATAAAAAACGCGTAGTAAATCCGAAAATATTAGTTTCATTTAAATATTAAGTATAATTCTAAAGTAATCTTGGATAGACATTTCGTCCATTTTGCTTGATACTTTCTTTTAGACCTTTGGGTCTACTGAGTGAATTTAATTCCATTTTAATTTAATGATATAGAAAAATTATTTACCCGTTGTAAGCTGTAACGTAGAGCTGATATCTGGATCCGCAGAAGAGATTTTCCAAAGTGTAGGTGTCAGTATTGCTTGGAATCTAAACGTTAAATATAATAAGTCACTGTTAACCAATTTTTATATGTACGTTCATTAAATTCGGAAGAAAATTATTTGTATCTTGGGCTAATCAATATTTAATAAAAACATTTTAATACATTCCCAAAGAGGGTTGATGTCAGGCAGGCGGCGGTCGTTAAAACAATTAGCCAAAACTATTCACAACATGTAAGGCAGACCCTGCGTAAAGCTGGGAAATTGTCAGGTAGAAGAAGATTTTAATACATTTCGTACCTGAACAGTTTCCCAATCTCCGAATTCCTGTTTGTAATGTATGGTGTAACCGGCGGCGGGGGATTGATCGGCGTCCATGGAAGGTTTGAGACGAAGAGTCAGCGATGATACTGATGATGACGCGATGCTCAGTTGTGGGGGGAATGGTGGGGCTGAGGAAATAGATTGACAATAGCAAGATTAACATACAAAAAAAAAACGTAAAAAAAGCCATGAAAATCACGTCAATTAAACATATAAGTTAACGTGTCTCAACAACGTCCAAAACAAATTTTCATGAAGAGTTTTAGGAATAATTGGATTTCGACTACTGTTTTAAGATCTTCCGTCAAACACCATTTACCTACACTCAAAGCAAAAAAAAATTATTTTCCTAAACAATATTGCTTTATAAAATATACAGCTACAATAGAAAAACTGTGAGAAACAGCCATTAGATATAATGTTCTGGCAGTGTTTAAAAAAGGCCACATATTAAAATCATTCAGATTAATTATTAGTAATGTAACTTTATTTGGGTATATTTTCATCTTACCTAGTACGGACAGCGTGTGAGTGACAGTATCAGTTCCGAATTGGTTGTCAACATGGCAAGAGTATTCGCCGGCATCTTCACGAGCCACGCCCGCGATTTGAAGGGAACCTTCGGGCAACTGACGGACACGTTCTGATGCATCTAATGGCTGACCTTTAACCTAAAAAGAAATAAATACTTGAAAGATATTATATTGTTAGTCACTTAAGTTATCGATTTGAATATGGGACACCTTATTTTTTTTTATTTTGTTATATATCACCTCGCTAAAAGATATTACGTTGTTAGTCACTTAAATTATCGATTTTAAAAATGGAATACTTTTTTTTGTTGTATATCGCTCACTAGAGCTTTGCTTGCACACAAATTTTAATCTTCAGCTATGTGTTATTTTATTATATAAGATAAATAAATAAACTTTCATAGTAATCTATTAGTATTAGTAGTTTTTGCATGACAAACTTTTCTCCATATTAACATACAGTACCTATATTAAACATCCACCTACTCTTTCATATTAATATGATTAGTCATATTTTAGAACAGGTTTTCTATAGGATAAAATTAGATATAAATCATTTTTATATCGATTCTACTAAGCAGCAATTCTAATAAGTATCAATTCATTATTTAAGCTAAATAATGTTTTCGTTTAATTTTTAGAGATTCACAAAAGGCCTGAGCATGTTTTTCTTATAATATGTATGTATGTATGTATATACAATACATACCTTCCACAGAATATTAGGAGGAGGTACACCGACGGCGAGACAGGGCAGTTTAACATCTTCCTTGTAGGTAGCGGTGAAGGATTCGTCGAATGAAGCGATCTTGGCTGGCACTGTAAACATAACAATCTAAAGTTATATGGACATACATATATTTTAAAACTAGCAACTTACCAAAATAATTGACATTATTATCGAGCTAGCAACTATTGTTATATTAACAAATAATATGTCATTTATTAATTAATTTTGTCTATTTTTCTGAATATTTAAGGCTATTTTCCATCAATAATAAGAAAATAAAAGTTAAGTTAGTATATTGTATATGGAGTATTTCAAACCTTTATCACTGGGGCTGCAAGAGGCGGTCGCTGAAGGTTGTCCTTCTCCAATGATAGTCGAAGCAGTCACCCAGAAGTCATAACGGCCGGCTTTCAGGTCAGTGGCAGAGTAGCTCGTTTGGGATGCTGGGACCTATTCATTTATTAGATTATTATTGAATTCTAATCCATATAAATGCAACTTTATATCGTTAGCAGTAAAGTTTGTGACGCTGATTACTTTACAGACATTACAAGGAGTTTAGTCCATAGGGCTTATTATTATTAATATTCCCATAGTGGGTTGATGTCAGGCAGGCGGCCGGTTAAAAAACAATTAGCCGAAACTATCTATAAGATGTTCTGCGGAAGAGTTATTTTTTCCTGGCTAAAGCTGGGAAATTGCCAGGAAGAAGAAGATAGAGCTTATTATTTGTTTATTAGAAGAAAGCCAATCAATTTTTTTTTGGGTTATTATTAATTAAATACCTTGTTAGCGTGAGGTTCAGAGTTCTGTGCCTGTGTGTATACGTTGTAGTGTGTGACGACTCCGTTGGGTTGAGCGGGCGCTCGCCACGACACCAAGATGGATTCCTGTCCCATTACTACTGCTTTCACCGCTCGAGGAGCCTCCGGTACTAGAATTAGATTTGATATATGTAATGTTATATATTCAAATGTCATATAACACCCTACTAAGTTTTTTCACACCAAAATGTTGAAGAAACAAATTGAATTATTAATAATTCCCAGTAATAAAAACTATACAGGGTGACTGGTGAATTACTATCGATATTTGAGGACGTGATATTTGACGATCTTATATGACAAAATAAAAATTTATATAACATAAATATTAATAAACTTCTAAGTAAAGTTAACCAAAAGTTATGTAATTAATTACGCATCGTATGAACACCCTACAGATTAGGTATACACACACACACACACACACACACTCGCGCACGGTGGCGTGTTGTTGTATCAGCACGCCGCCGCACGCGTCCACATTTGGAACATTTGGAACGTGTACACACTTTATTTATTTATACGGAAATTTGGTCAAAAATTAAGTACCTATTTTTTTTACATAATTCGAATGAGAATCATGTACCGAGTATGCTCCTTAAATATTGATAGTAATTCACCAGTCACCCTGTATATCCATCTTTTTAATTAGGAACATGTCACGATTATAGTCTTATATTATAAATGCTGATGTTATTTTTACTGAGGAACTTTAATATTTGCTATCAATCCACCAAATAATGCATAGGTGGATATGAAGACCAGGGTAAATGATAATAAAGAGCTATTAATTCTTGCCTTGTAGACGTCCAAATTATAATTTAAATACAGTATTATATAATAATATTCTTACCGTCTTGTTCAGTCTGGCAATGGATAGGTGCTGATCGTACGCCGTCACCTCCATTAGTCGTAGCAAGTACTTCCATAGAGTAGTTTGTGAACTTCTTCAGACCGTGGAGAATTGTTTCGCTGCTAGCAGTGATCTTGGTGTCCTTGCTCTTCTCGTCTTATTACAAATTAAAAGTATATAAATAATAGTAACAAATTGTTAAGATATTATATAAATATGTGTACTTTGAAAAGTGTATTTGGTCTTATTCCTTAAGCCTTCCTGAAATTTAACTTAACCACTGTCATTAAAACTCAAAACATTATTAATAAAAACAAAATTATTTAAATTGACTACAGTAAAGCACTTTGTTGTCATAATGGAACTTCATGATACTTATTACAACAAATCTGAATATGTTGAAACGGCATCTGGTAATAAAGTCAGCCGACAGACTGTGTTATGTGGGTCACAGAACATTGTTTAAATATTATAATGATTTTTTTACTTACCATACCAAGTTTCGCTGGGTCCGTAGATAACTTTGTAGGCTTTGATGAGTCCGTTAGCGGCGGCTAAGGGAGGTGATACCCATGACACGCGAATAGTTTGAGCGGTGAGTGTCGTGCAGAGAACATCTTGGGGCGGGGCTGATGGGGCTCCTTCAGCGGTGTACGCTCGGACCTCGTTTGATACAGGACCTGAACCCATCTTGTTGAAAGCCTGCACTACCATCGCGTATTGGGTGTATGTTCTGTGGAATTCATACATTTAAATAAAGACATGTTGGTAGACCCTGGCTAAAGCTGGGAAATTGCCAGGAAGAAGAAATAAAGATGTTTACAGATTCACTTCGTGTATCTTGTACCTCTGAGTCAAGCTACTTACTTAAGGTTGAAGATGTCGAGATGGTGTTCCTTGCCAGATTCCTTTGAGATGTCTACAGTTTCGAATACGAATGACTTATTGCTTGAAGCCAATTTGTATCCAACGTAGTATCTGTTGAACGTTAATTCGAATTATAATATTTAAGTCATAAATAAAATAAATTTTCATAATTATTATTATCCGGTGATGCTTTTTTCAGTTTTGACTTGTTTTAACCATATTTACGGGCCGAAACCAAGTAAATTCGGTTGTAGTGCGTTATTTACGTGTGTATGTTGTGTGAATGGGTGTGATTTTGTTTTCTTCTATTTGCATAGACTTTTTTACTATCCTACACCTCTTTAGGATGGCGGCTTTTTGTAAGGTAATGTAAGTTATGTCGTTCAAGTTTATTATGACTATTATTATATCATATTTTAATTATATTCATACCCTTGAAGTTCGCCATTCCAGTCCTGAGGTTGGGGTGGTTTCCAGGTAACTCTGAGCGTGTGTTTGTCGACAGCATCAACCTTTACGTCTTGAGGCATGCCAGTGGGGGCTTCTTCGGCGGTGATAATTGTAACGGTTTCCGATGGTTCAGAAGTTCCAAGTTCGTTCTCAGCAACAATTCTGATGTGGTAGGCGGTGGCTGGTCTTAAACTGAATACTCCGGCTTCGGTCGCGTCTCCAGGAACGAGCACTCTGAAATTTAATAAGTTTAGTCATTTATAAGAAAATTGACATATAAATATACTATACTAGCTGACCTAGCAAATGTTGTTTCGCCATATTAAAAGCAGGGGTTGGTGATAAAAAAGTAAAAAATTTAGGGTTGTATGTATTTTCTTATGCCACATGATACAAAAATAGAAACAAAACCTTTCGTCCAAATTAAAAAAAATAGGGGTAAACAACCCCTATCACTTAGAGGTATGAAAAAAAAGATTGACAGATCTACTCAATATGCTCACAAAATTTCATGAGAATCGGACAAGCCGTTTCGGAGGAGTACGGAAACGAACATTGTGACACGAGAATTCTATATATAAGAAGAATACAGATTGATATTTACCTGTCAATATCTTTTTCCCAGTTACCCTTAGCACGTTTGTATTCAATGAGGAACTTCTTGATCGGTGAGTTTCCATCGTAAGGTGCAGCCCATGACAGTTGTACGGTTCTTCCAGATTTGTCCAAAACCTTTAAGCCATAAGGCGCTTCGGGAACCTCTGAATGATGCAAACAAACTCTAAGTCAATAACAATTTTTCGTAAATCAGATGTTTTTCATATAACTGGTTAACTAACCTTGAATGATCATGTTGATGCTGGTATCGTCAGATCCGAAAGCATTTGTAGCGACGCAGGTAAAGAGAGCGCTGTCTGATCGTTCAGTTCTCCTAATGCTCAGGTCGGATACAACTCCTCCGGGCAAGATTTCTTCGCGAATAGTGTAACGAGGATCAGATTTGGGTTCCAAACGCTTGTTGTTCATGTTCCAGATGATTCCAATTGGCTGTAAAGTTATTTTAATCATTTAATAAGTCCCTTGAATTATTTATTTTATAATAATTAAGAATTCTGAACGTCGAAGTACCTTTTCACCTTTAGCTTGACACTGCAGAACGGCTGGCTCACTTCGGCGGGCGGTTTGGTTTCTCATTTTGATTTCGAATTGAGGGGGGGCTGAGAATGAATAAAAGAATTAATAAAAGATAAAAATGATTTACAATTATATTTAGTTTTTGTTGCTCACCCTGTACGCTGATCAAAATAACAGCAGATAATCCAGATCCAATTCCATTAACGGCTTCGCACAGATAGTATCCTTCGTTAGTCTTTTGAATATTAGTTATAGCGAGGGTTCCATCTTCAACTTTCACATTAGGGTTATTTGGTTTAAGGTCTTTGTAATCACCGGGGGTATCACCTGGAATAAAGCACAAGTTTTAATAATCCTGTACAACAAAATAGTGGTCGTGAATTTGTAATCAAACTTACCTTCAGCCCTCTTCCATGTAACCTGGGGCTTAGGGAAACCGTCGGCTTTGCATTCTACTTTAGCATCAGAGCCTTGGGCAAAAGCCTTATCAGTTGGTTCCAAAATCCAACGTGGGGGTACTAAAATATTACCACTTAATAAGCATATGATGACATTAACAACGATTATTATTTTGATTTAAAATGAATGAACTCAATAAAAGAATAAGGTTTCTTTAAATGAATTTTTTGTGAAATGGTTACTGTTTTATGTTCTCCATTCAATAAATTTTAAATTGAAATCAGAATAACAAAAGTTACAACTTTGCAATTTCATGGGAAAAGAAAATGATACTATGCAAATTTTCCAAAGTGTTTAAAATAAATATTAAATATCCACTCAGTAGTTTTATATCTAAAAAACCATTTCACTGTTATACATATTTGAAATTTGAATATAAGTTATTTAAGTAACAATTCTGGAATGTTCGTAACAAAATATAAGTAAAGATTCAATTGTTTCATTTATTGACATTGTGATCATAAATATTATAATATTTTTTATATTTTGATACAACCTTCCAGCAAAAGTTTATACATAGTAAACAAAAGCTTATATATTTTGATGTTGAATTGCGAATTATAATTTTATGAAAAGTTTATAAGCATGTTTTTTCAGTATGTAGTGAAAATATTTTTTTATAGAAGCTCGTTATATAGAAGCTTTTGTACATATTAGGCAAACAAAAAAAAACAAGCAAAACTTTAAAATAAAAGGGAGAGTTATAACTGAAATATATTATTAAGCAGCAAAGCAGACGATGAAATATAAAAACATTTGAAATAATGTTGCAACTAGGTATTTATTTTGATGATAACAAAAGATTATCGAAAACAAACATTATTTCAAATGAGTTGTTAGTAGACAAGCATAAAAGCACAAACATCCAGACTATGCAAATTAATAAGATAAAAAAATAAAAATAAAGAAGGATTATCAGGAAAGGGAAGGATTCGGATAGAGCTAAAGAAGGACGGAGAAGAAATGGTTTCGTCGATGATAGCCGCAGCCGGATCCTACATATATTTTTTCTATTATATCCAACTGACTTTTTTCGTGCTAGTCCGCGGTTTTAATCAAAATTTTACTTTGAATTATAAAATGTTGTTATAACTGCTATGACATTCATTTTATTGTGAATTTTACAAAGGCGTATCTATCTAATCGTTTATAAGCGATAAATATTGAGGCTACGCAAAGCTTTTCCGTGCTAGGAGTACAGGTTTTCACATGAGCTTTTTTATAGATACCATGAACTTCTAATGAGGCCGAAAAGTTGGAAGAGCCAGCGGCATTTCGGGCTAGACATAAATATGTGCCGCTGTGAGACCAGCCAACTGGGTCGATGAGAAGAAGAGAAGCCCTCTTTGCTATTTTAGTTGCCGTAACGCCAACTATTTCTTTTAACGGACGACCTTCAAAGTACCATTGAATATCGAGTGGAAGGTCACCCTCGGAAATTAAGCAAGTGACCTGAGTTGCTTGGCCCGCATAAAGGGGAGTTTCGAATGAAAACGGAACTATGCGGGGCAATACTGGAAAAAACCACATATGGTTTCGTTAGATTAGTCGTAATCAAGCATGGTTAGTATCTTAGGATAAGTAATGTGTCTGACAGTGAATGAAGTTTCCAGGTCGGTGCTAATTTGTGATGTTAGTTTCCATTTTAACGGTATCATTTTGAAATAGAGAATATGAACGTGCCATTTACGACTAGAGTGGCCGCATGCTCGGCACGACCGGCTGCATTTTGAACGATACATGTGTAGTTTCCTTGGTGGTTAGCGCTCACAGAGTTGATTGTCAGACCAGAGGCGCGAAAACCCAACGGAGTAATAGTAATATCTCGATGCAAACTTGAGTCAAGAGTTTCACTGCTGAATGTCCACGATATTTCAAGTGGTAAGTCTCCCTTTGTTGCAACACAGTTCACTACGACAGTATCTCCAGGACTTGATGGCACTTCTCCGAAACTGAACGGTATTATCAAGGGCGGAACTGGGACAGCAAATATTTTATAATGAAGCTAGTTACGTAATGGTTATTTTTAAAAATACCTATATGGGACTTAAAAAATAGTAAAATTTTAGTCATTTTTTCTCGCACCCTTTACAACCAATTCGGTTACATGAGAAACAACACCACCAGCATTGCTTGCAGTGCAGTTGTACCATCCGGCATGTTTTGCATCTATGGATTCTATAGTAAGAACACTACTTCTTCTGTCCATGCTATTAATTCGAACGCCAGATATTTTACTGGCTGATTGATTGTTAATAGTCCACATAATATTAAGTGGTTGATCGCCGTGGGTAATGATGCACTGAAGAGCAAAGTAATCTCCTAGGAAAGCCGGTTCCGGACCGGAAGTGAAAGGTGCAATCTTAGGAGGAACTGAAACAAACTTCATCTAAATCACTAATATAAGATTCTACGCTAAACATAACGACTAACCATAAACAATTAAATCTGACGTGTATGTGGAGCGCCCCGCACGGTTTTCACCAATGCAAGTATATGAACCAGCGTGTTTTGCATCTACTGACTCAATTATGAGAAGACTACTGCGTTTTGAATTTGTCAATAAATAAGCATTATTTCTCAATGATATTAACTGCCCATTAAAAGTCCAAGTTATAGTAAGTGGAAGATCGCCAAGGTTTACAGTGCACGCAGCTTGTAAGTACTCTCCAACGTTCGCAGGTTTCTCGCCAAAAGAAAACGGCAAAATATTGGGAGGGACTGGAATGTTACGACTACCATTATTTTTATTTCAAATAAAATTTTATCCTTAAAATAATCAACAAAAGTTATACAGTAATTCTATTTTTCGTTACGAGTTGCCGCTCCGCTTTGCTGATTTTTTCTAGTCTTAATAAAATAAATACCAACGTAAGAAAGAACGGAAGATGATATAAATATTTTTTTTTTGTTCCTAAAAATGTGGAATTGGGGTAAAAAGCAAGCAACATCCGATCTAAAATTTAGAATTACTACCGATCACGTTTAGAGTAGCTGTGTGGTTTGCGGTGCCCGCTCTATTAGTAGCTGTACATGTGTAGTTTCCACTATTTGTTCCTGATGCTGATATTATATCCAAAACAGAAACGCGTTCGCTTAGAGAGGTTGTTTTAACACCCATCCGACTTGTAACAATTTGTCCCTGAAAGCTCCAAGTTATATTCATAGGAATGTCCCCTTTTGGTACGTGACAGTCGAGGTGAACGGACTCCCCAGCAAACACGGCTTCATCCAGTTCAAATGGTTTGATATGAGGGACAACTGAGCAAAGAAATAGTATATGTTTTTATGAAATACATGCTGGGAACATTTAATAAGAAATACCGTTAACGTGAAGAGTTGTAGAATATCTATCTTCTCCGGCTCTATTCTTTGCAATACATGTATAATTGCCACTGTGAGCGCCAGTTACGGAAGCTATAGATAAAAATGATGTCTGTTCTGCCATTTTCAAAGTTTTTATTCCCAACATACTGGATATATCTTGCCCCTCGAATGTCCAGGAAATGGACATAGGCCGGTCTCCTTTGCTGGCATGACATGTCATTTGTACCGATTCTCCATAAAAAACGGACTCCTCAATTTCAAACGGCATGATATGGGGTGGAACTAACAAAACGAACAAAAACAGAAGGCTAAATTTAAATCTAAACGTGCAAATTTAAATCTCTTGTTTAGAGATAGGAGGAATTTGCTAAAGGATTGGGTAGGGCGACATCTAATACCATGAATATTGACGAGGGCGGAGTGATGGGTGCGACCAGCACGATTACTGGCAGTGCATGTGTAGTTTCCGCTATGTTGGCCCATGGCGGTTGGAATACTAAGGACTGAGGCTTTTTCCCCCAACTTAGTAGTCGTAATGCCCATATTATTATGATAAGGAATTTCAGTTCCTTGAAAACTCCACGTTATTTGGAGAGGTCGGTCTCCTTTTGATACGTGACAAGTAATGTGTACGGATTCTCCAGCAAAAATAGACTCTTCAACTTCAAACGGGATAATGTATGGAACAACTTGCAATTGAAATAGAAAAATTAATAAAATTATAAAGTTACTATAGCAATTCTTAGCTAATATAATATATATGTATATAATTTCTAAAGATACGCGTATATACCAGTCACTTTAAGAACAGTAGTATATCTAGCGACGCCCGCGCGGTTTTTAGCAATACATGTGTAATTTCCGCTATGAGCATCCGTAACCGACGGTAGCATTAAGACCGATGATCGTTCTCCAACTTTCGTGAAAGATCCTAATTCACTCGATAGTGGTTTCCCATTAAACTCCCATTTAACGTCTAGTGGAATATCGCCTTTTGATATATGACACATCATCTGAACTGACTCTCCAGAAAAGAGGGCTTGGTCGACTTCAAACGGCAATATGTTCGGTATTACTATAATTTAAAGTATTAAAAAGTAATGAGAAATAAAAATGTTGGTAAAACAAAAGTAAGCTTAAATTGCTTTATAGATATGTGAATAGAATTCATGCTAATTGTATTGACATATCTTTAAGCAGCTGTGAAAAAAAAAGTTTAAACATGATTTTATGTTATGAGACTGACCATGAACATTAAGAGCAGTGGAATGGTTGGTGGAACCAGCACTGTTGGTAGCTACGCAGGTGTAATTGCCACTATGATCGGCAGTAGCCGCAGCGATTGAAAGGAATGAGGTACGCGAAGTCATTTTAGTAGTCATTATGCCAAGGTGTGATGATGTATTTTCGTACCCATGAAAATGCCACTTGATATCGAGAGGTAAATCTCCCTTTGATACATGACAGTTAAGCTGAACCGGTTCACCGGCAAACACTGACTCGTCCGCTTCAAAGGGTACGATGTATGGTAATACTGTTAATTTAGAAAGCTATAATTATTATGATTATAGATGCAAGCGTGCAGCGTGCGGCAAAGGCATGGACTAAGATTGGTTTCGCGGGATACCATGGACATTAACTGTAGTGGAGTGAGCTGCTGGACCAGCTTGGTTCGAAGCGTGACATGAATATTCGCCACTGTGACTAGCAGTCGCGCTAGGAATTGTAAGGAGTGAGGTTCTTTGGCCAATTTTAGTTGTCATAATTCCTTCATGAGAAGACAGTTCTTTCCCATGAAAACTCCAAGTGATAGCAAGAGGCGTGTCGCCTTTAGATACGTGACACGTCAATTGTACAGATTCACCGGCAAAAACTGGCTCTTCAGCCTCAAATGGGACGATGTGTGGAGGAACTGGAGGTGAAAAAAACAAACAAACTAAAATTAAAAACTTTACACAAATAATGTTTCTTGTGTACCCTGGACGTTTAAAACAGATGTGTGGTTAGTGCTCGCTACAATATTGGAAGCCGTGCATGTGTAGTTTCCAGAATGTTTTTCCGATACGGAAGGAATCGCTAATATTGAACTCCTAGCTCCCATTTTTGTTATAATAACTTGGTTGTTTTTATTTATAGGCTTTTCTTGAAAAAGCCATGTAAGGTTTAACGGCATATCTCCCTTAGGTATGTGGCACATAACTTGTATACTTTCTCCGTAAAAAACACCTTCATCGAATTCAAAAGGAGATATTATGGGTGCCACTGTAAACATTAACATGTATTTTACTAAAATTCTTTTAAGGCAGAAGGATATTTGGGGGACAACAAAACATGAAAAGCACATTGTTGTTTTTGTACAGGTGTTATACCCTTGACATTAAGCGTTCCTTGGTGACTAGCGTTGGCAACAATGTTGGATGCAGTGCATGTATAATTGCCAGAATGTTTTGCTGTCACGGTAGGTATTATAAGAGCAGAACCCATATCACCAACATTCATAATGTTTACCCCCGAGAGTTCACTCACATCGCCTCCACTGAAACTCCATTTGAAACTAAGGGGCTTATCTCCTTTTGGAACGTGACACATTACTTGAACGCCCTCACCGTAAAATACAGATTCGTCGAAGTCAAACGGAGTTATAATTGGTGCCACTGAAATAGTTAGACTTAACATTCTATTACTACTTCCGAGTAACCGATATGTTCCGACATAAGATTATTTATTTCTGTTTATATAGCCCGCCAAAGTTACCGAGGAGAGGAGCAGAAGGAAAAAATATAAAAAGTATAAAATAGAATACTATAAATTACGAGATAAGGTGCAAAAATTGTACCATTTACAAATAGTTGAGCAGTGTGATTCATGATGCCCGCTTGATTTGTTACTACACAGGTATAATTTCCTTGATTTTGATGGCTAACCGATTCAATACTAAGTTGACTTGCACGTTTGGTGTTTAAAAGCGATATTCCTTTTTCACCAGTTTTAACCTTATTTTCATTAAAATACCAGTCTATTTTCAACGGTTGGTCGCCTTTTATAACAGTACACGTAACCAAAACCATTTCTAGGGCGTTAACGGGTTCTTCGCCAAATTCAAATGGCATAACTTGTGGTGGGACTGCGGCAGGAAATTAAAGAAGCGTTAGCGAAAAGTAAATGGTACAAAAAATATTTAGGTACCGTTAACATATAACTCGGATGTGTGATTTGTAAATCCCGCTTGATTTTTCACAGCACAGGTATAATTTCCTTGATTATGGTGACTAACTGATTCAATTGTAAGTTGGCTAGTTCTTTTAGCATTGGTTAGCAGGACACCGTTAACATTAGATTTTAAAGGCTTTCCGTCGAAATACCACTCAATATTTAGAGGTAAGTCGCCTTTACTTACTGTGCACATTACTACAACCATCTCCTGATCATTTACAGGCTCGTTTCCGAAATCGAAAGGCATAATTTGTGGAGCAACTATAATAAGAAATAAATATTTTATATGTAGAAGAAACATACATCTTGTGTATTAGAAATAAGTATTTGTGGATAGGGATTATGAAAATGATGGAAAACATAAAAATATTTACACGTATTTAGTGTCGTGCGAACATAAGCAAAACTTGTTGAAACTCAATTATTTTCCAGAATATACCATTGACATTGAGAATAGCACTGTGACTACTTTGACCAGCTTCGTTTTCTGCAACGCAAGTGTAATTGCCGATATGTTCGTGTTGCACATTTTCGATACTCAAAACGGATATTCTTTTTCCATTACGGTTGATGAATAAACCATTGCCAGTGTTTAAGGGTTTGTTGTTAAGTTGCCAATGAATTTTCAATGGCAAATCACCTTTTCCTACAGTGCAAGTGAGTGAGACAGTATCACCCGCGTTAAGTATTTCTTCTCCAAAATCGAAAGGTGTTACCTGTGGCATAACTATGAGACAAATATCTTTTAGTATTTCGTTAAAGGTTCTTGAAATTACTAGGTTATAAATATAACATATCCTACAAAACGAAGATAAAGGAAAGGTAATCAGGATTAATCTGTTTATAACAAAGCGATAATTAAAATGATACGAAGCATGACGTTACCGTTGACGACTAATTCAGTTGAATAATTCGCATGTCCCGCCTGATTATTTACAAAGCAGGTATAAACTCCTGTGTGTATGAATGATACGGCGTCAATCGAGAGACTGCTTGATTTATGACCAATTTTGGTAACAGTGATCCCTTGTATTTTTGTGACGTCTCTTCCGTTTAAGAACCATGTTATGTTAATAGGTTTGTCGCCTTTAGTCACCATACAGGTAATTCCGACTGTATCACCAGCGTTGGCTGGCTCGTCACCGAAAGTGAAGGGATGGATTTGGGGCAAAACTGTTTCAAATAAATAACTATCAAAAACGATTTACGAAGCAATATTATAAAACATTAATATATTAGTAACTGAATATTGTATGAGAAAGGACCGTTAACTTCCAGCGTCGAACTATGATTCACTTGACCAGCTATGTTTTCTACGTGACACACGTAAATTCCACGATGCGTTCCATTCACGGAATCTATGTTAAGAATTGACATTTTCCTGCTCATACTGCCTATGGCGATTCCCAGAGCATTGTTTTGTGATATTTTTCTGCCGTTTAAGCTCCAAGAGAATTGAGCCGGAAGGTCTCCCTTATTCATAACGCACTGAACTGACGCAGTGTCACCAGCATTAGCGGGTTCATCGCCAAACTCGAAGGGTAATATTTGAGGAGGTACTGCAGTAATAGAAAAGCGTTAAAACAAATAAAAAAGAAGAATCTAAATATGCGAACCGTTAACACTAAGGAGAGTCGTGTGATTTGTTTCCCCTGCTTGGTTTCTTATTTGGCAAGTGTAAGATCCTCTATGTATTGAATTTACCGCCTCAATGTTTAGAATCGATGTTTTCTTGCTAATGGTGGTCAATACAATGCCGATATTGTTACGCGGTTTTATTTCCTCGCCATTAAAGAGCCACTTGAAGGTCACGGGGAGATCACCTTTGCTCATAACGCAAGAGACCGATGCTGTTTCACCTTCATTTAGGATCTCCTCACCGAATTCAAACGGCGTGATTTGTGGGGGGACTTAGAAAATAATAATATATAAGTACAAAGCTTTTAAAAGATTTTGAAAATACATATGTCAAATACAAGGGAATTAGTGGAGTTGGTTTTAATTGGTACCATTGACTTCAAGTACAGCGCTGTGATTGACAGAGCCAGCTGGGTTCGTCGCCACACAATAATATGTGCCCCTATGAACTCCGTTCACGGAATCAATGTTTAGAATGGAAGTTTTTCTATTAATGTTCGTCAAAACGATTCCGAGATCATTATTCTTGTAAAGAATTTGTCCATTGAAAATCCATGATATATTCAATGGTTGATCGCCCTTACTAACGGCGCAAGATACAGACGCCATATCCCCGGCGTTTGCTGGTTCGTCACCGAACTCAAACGGCAGTATTTGCGGTGGTACTGTTAAAATACTATATTAATTTCTAAAGGAGCATGTGTGGCTAACGATGTACCTTTGGCGGGCATAAACTCTAGTTTATACGTAGTTACTAATGCAAAGTTATCGACACATAAATTGTTGTAAAAAAACCTGAAAGAAACTTCTATTAGTTCTTAAATACACAAGTACTGTCATAAGAATGTTTCAGGGGTGAAAAGTTTTAATGATATATTTATTTATATGTTGGCAATATTATGTCTGTTATACTTGAATTCTATGACAATACTTTTAAAAGAGCTTCTGAGTATATGAATATGATTTAAAAATCTACATCGAGTTCATGAAAAAAAAATCCTTAGTATCTTTTTATTATACTCAGACGTCTTACTTCTCCATATTCAAAAAATTGTAGTGTATAAGTTCATATATTCTAAATTCAAAAGTGAACATAAAAAGTCTTTTAAAGACAACCTTTCAATATATGATAAGAGAATAAAAAGTTAATTAATTATTATTAGTACAGAGTAAATATTATTCCGTTCAGAAGTTTAAAGTTGATGGTTGTTATTATTAAAGTTGTAAGAGAAATCAAATTAATTATTTATTATTTGCTTAATATTTGTTTGGAGAAGTAAGTGAACTCTTTTCAATTTAAAAACATTAATTGATATATATTACGTAAAAGCAATATTCGTGTCTAAGAGGTCAAAAGTATTTAAATCGTTAAACTGTCAATTTACATGACTAGAAATAGAGTAACTTGCTTTTACGAAATATAATAAAGTAGTATTGAGCGAGATATGGTTACGTATTAGTTTTTACAAAATATTTATAAATGGTTTCATACAAAAATCTAGTTTAGTATTTAACAATAGTTGTTACTTCAAAAGGTTTAATTTAAAGAATTGGTTAAATCATTTAATAGAATTTGAACAATAATATATAATTGTTTACCGAAATTTTATAGAAGGTTTATATTAATGTTCTTTTGAATTACCTTAGCTCGCTCAAAAACTAAATAAACAGACAGTGGCGAACTATTAATAAAAATAACATCAGATTTTTTAAATAACACAATCTCTTAACAGCGTCTTCTCAAGAGTAATTGATGTTCTTTATTCAATAGTTGCCGCTATCTTATATCTGTATATGTCTATGTTAGGATAACAAAACAAGATAATTGAACGTGTTAAAAGTGAAGTACTTTTTTCAAAATTAAGGATTAACATATGCTTTTAGCTTTCAATAAGAAATTTTACTAGTCTAGCATAAAACATATCAATCTGTTTACTTTTTTTATCTTGTTTCGTTGGCCTTCTCCTAGTATGAATATTTCTTACCCATGACTTGCAGTTCGAGTGTGCCACGAGCGCTATACGCCTGCGAGTTCTTGACAACGCACGTGTAGGTCGCCTGGTCGCTCATACGTTCAACGTTTTCAATTACAAGTGTGCCATTGGGGAAGACCTTCTGTTTACGGTTGATTGGCAGGATGCTGTAAATGTTATTATGTTATTGAGATAAATTTCTTAATTGAACTTTACTAAATTGCAGTCGTACAGAAAGGAGATTGTCCACTTAGTATGGGGACTTTGGCCTGACGTGAACAGACATTTTATCATATTTTTTGTAATTAGTTTAAAAGCACTAACTAGTAATAATGAGAATATGAACTTAATTTTGTATCAAAATGGTTAAAAAGAGATTTTTGTTATGTGAGGAAAAACAGGTTAAAGGGAAATAAAACAACATTTTTTATGATTTATTTTTAATCTGAGACATCATATGTTATTAATATGTGTTAAAGAAATTGTACAGGTGGTGAAATGTGTTCCTTAAACCTTGCCCAACTTAAAAACCATAAAATAGTCATTATATGAGCGCAGCAACCCACTGTCCTTCGGCCAACCATGCAATTACAATAATATTCTTTAATCTTTTATAGCTTCCTTACCATTGTGATTATTTTCATATAATATATAATATATATATATATATATATATATATATATATATATATAATATTTTTCGACATACATGCCTGCTTTGTATTTTGCCACGCAATAATCTACAGTTGGCCAAAGGAATCGGGTAGTTAACCAATAGGTCGCTGGCTATATTTCTACATATTTCTATAGTATAGGAACCATCGCCTCTTATGTGCTGCACATAATACGAACAAGCTTGTTTTAGTTGGTATGTTCCATATGCAATTTTTATAAGATCATTATATTCTATTCTTGGAAATATGGAACTGTCCATGTTTACATTTATAGGTTGAAAATCTGCCTGCCTTCTATTTAAATTATTTTCGATAATAAAGTCAGCTAATGTGTTAGGAGTAAACATCTTTTCATTTATTATAATACAACAGTATATCAGGATTAAAATTATATAAAACAATAAAACCTCATATTACATTATAGGAATAGCATATACAATACATATCTATTAAAAAACGAGTGACTTAAATAATTAATTGAATTGACACTTACTCGTCGAGGAGCTATCCACTGTCTTATAATAGACTGAACCTGATTAAGATCTAGACTATGTCGCCTTTGCTCTATCAAATCAGTTCCACAGTTTATGCATCTCAGAGATATGGATTGGTAAGAAGCCACTTCTTCTGTGAGCAGACTATCATGAGACATGCTTTGGTTTTGTTCAATGTCCATATTCAAGCCGTGGTTAGCGATGGAGCTAGTTAGGGGGTCCATATTACGTGAGTGTTGTTCATCGTTAATGCTATGTTTGGAGTCCATAATACAAAAGCCAGGGTCATCGTTTGAGCGAAATTCAGGGTCCATAGATGTGCCGGGGTATTTAGAAAAAGATAGGTCGGAGTCCATAATGAATAAACAATCGTTGAAAGAAAATCCACAATAAATCAACACTCTCAATGTAGGTAAACTAAGCAAATGTAAACAATCATCCTGTGACATTTCAATGTCAATTTGTATTTTTTTTGTTTTATTAGTGTTGCAATAGAAAAAAATCATTTAAAATTCGATCGAAAACAGATATGATAACGTTTAACATTCTTCATATTTCAGTTAATAAAACGTTTTAAATGACGAAACTAATTAAAAACAAATATTTTTAATATTTTTTGTATTAAATACTTATAGTTGTATTAAGTACTACGAGATGATTCGATTTGACGCATTCGTTAATTGATCTTGCTGGTAGCACAAAACGTGGATCAATAAAGCAAATCAATGAAGATACTTTAAAAATATTTTTTCAATTAAATACAATTGTTCACTCAAACAACAGTAGAATGGTTAGCTAAAAAAAAAAATTTTTTTTTCATATACTTGTTTTTTTGATAGCAGCTTGTTCACGCTAGGCCAAAAATGGACATTGCCCTTTGGATTCTAGAATTCTAAATAGCTCAAAAGTCTAGTACAAATTTACTTTTAAGTTATATGATTTATAGAATACTAGCTGCGCCCCACGGTGTTACCCGCGGATTTCCGGGGTGTAAAGTAGCCTATATGTTATGCCTGGACGTCAGCTTCCTGTATACAAAATTTTATCAAAATCGGTTCAGCCGTTTGAGCGTGAAGAAGTAATAAACTTACACACTCTCTCACAAATTTTCTCAATTATAATATTAGTAGGATACGCAAGACATTCAACCGATCAATGGAAAAAGTCATTTCTTGTTATATACAATAACGTTATTGTATTGAAAACTAACCGTCCGTCTCTCTCCCATACAATAGTATCGATGGGGTATCCGGCTACTGGGCAGTGTACGACGAGGGTGTCTCCAGCAACTACTGGGCGTTTCTTCATGGGACGTACATAGGGAAGACCATAGACATTGACGCGGGCCGAGTGGGAAGCGCTGCCGACCTGGAATTTGGAGTATATTTAGTTAGCAAAACGTAATATATGATCCCATAACAATATAAACCAGCTAACATGGTAGCGAAGCCTAATTAAGGCGAACATGCTTGGCACTCTGCCAATAATTTTATCATAAACAATAGTGAACTCTGCTTTTGGAATACACATTACATTTATATACCGAATAATTTTAATGATTATCATCTGAAATATTCGGTAAACATATATTTTTCAAGCCAATCAGTAGCAGAACTATCAATTAAAAAAAATATATATCACTTTGAACTTTTATGTGATATGTACACTCACGAAAAGTGTTGCCATATTTTTATTAAGAAAGATAGTGAATTTTGTATGAAGTACCTTGCTAGATGCGATACAGGAGTACAATCCGCCATCGTTGGTGTGCACGGAGGAGATATTCAGGTGTGATTCAACATTGCCGTCAGCGGTGACGAATTGTCCGATTTGAAGGCGCTCTCCACTGTTCAGTTTCTCACCATCAAGTTGCCAAGCGATGTCGGGCGTGGGGTTTCCAGAAGCAACACACTTAAGGCGCAGGGAAGGTCCAGATCTAAGGGTCTGTTCGCCAAAGCTGTGACGGATTTGTGGTGGTTCGACTGGAATTATATTTATGATCGTTTTATCTTAAAATTCTTTTTTTGATATATTAGTTCTTATTATTATATACGAAATATTCTATATAATATTCCGACCAAAGTACAATGTGAGTAGATTATTATTGTTGTCAAACATATTAAGAATGATAATACTGATTTAGAAAGAAAAACAAAAGAAAGTTTATACATACATCGTCCTCCTAGTTTCAATTCAGCGCTGGCACCGGCACTTTCCTGGTCATTTCTAATAAAACACTGGTACATTCCTTTGTCTTCCTTCTTAACCGATTCAATCCTGCAATACATACATCAGGGTGTAATGCAAAATATCCTCTTGAACATCAAAATAATTAAGACTTCTTATTTACTATTTAAATTACCTGAGAATAGGGTCGTGATGTTTCATGTCCTTGCCATCCTTAAGCCAAGTGATAGTTTTTACGGGATTGCCTTCGTATCTGCAGGTAAAAACGGCGGGACGTCCGAAATCAACAGTTTGTGTCGCAGGTTCAACAGTAGCTTTTAATGGAGCAGTTACAGTCAGAACAGTTTCCACCGATTCACCTTTAGAGTTTCAATAATAATTAATGGAATTATCATATTTAAATTAAACATCTTTACAAGGATGTACATTAGCTTACCACCAACAGAGTTATTGACAACACACAGGTATTTCCCGGAATCCTCAACTTTAGCTTCTTTAATAATAAGTGTTCCTGATACCTGTTTCACTCTATCATTAAGAACCACTGGTTGCTTTCTTGCTGAACCATCGATAAATTTATACCATCTGTAACAACGGAGAATTCGATAAGTACATTTATGTAAATTAAATGAACCAAAATACTTGAGGAAGACTTCAAATCTGTCTTAACTATTAATGGAATGAATTCTAAAAAACTAGATTAAATGTTAAAAATTTAAAAAACTTATTGCACTAATATAAGCTTGATTGATAATAAAAAAGACGAGTAGAAAAATATAATTTATTTTTGAACCACTAAGACTACTTTTCACATATATTTTTTTAAGAGCTCAGAATAGCAACATTAACACCACATATGAATATCGTAGACGTTCAAATTACCCAAACAAAAATACCAGAAACCAACCAAGACTTTCTCGACCAATGCCTGACAACTGACTGAAATTATTAAAGAGACGAAGCCCAGCGGAATTGCTTGATTGATGTTTTATATGACGACTTGTGGTTAAAAATACCCGAGTTCACTTTGACCAGGGAGAATCATATCTGATATAGCACTGCTACACAAACTCAAGGTGCATAGGCAAATGACTGCCCACATAAAGCAAAAATGTGTAAAATTATCTTCAACATTAAGCCATCATTAGAATCAAACATGAATGTTAGAAGACTGCTCTAAACAAAACAATCATATAGCATCGCTACGAAACACGAAAGCACAAAGTAAAGATTAAAGCGTCTGAATGAAAGCAAGAACACCCTGTGACTTACCAGGAAGTGTTTGCGGCGCTCAATCGTTACTTTGGCAGAGTATTGTATTATGGCCAGCCGCGGCTCATCACGCCTTCATGTCTCGCCTCGACTCGACTGGAATAACAACTCACATCAATATACGAGGATGATATGATGCTATGTGAAAGATGAATGCGTGAGATGCCGACGGCCGGCCGTCATAGTGAGGCCGTACCTTGTCAAAGGTGCTGGGAATGCTTGGACTTCGCATAGGAGCGCCAAATTTAAACCACCACGCCCTACGTGACGATTAAGTCCGTCTCCAGTAACCTTCGGCCCCGTCCTACCCGATGGTTCTGGAATATATGTAAATCCACTATGACAATGAGCCTATCACTCACCTAAAAACCGGAACGGGGAAAGCGGCTACTTCGCATGTTAAGTAAGCTATACTATTTTGAGCCACAAGGAATATTTTCCACCCTTCGAAGTGTTCAGCAAAATTTTTTCTAGGAGCTATCTTATTGGTAGGCTCTGCAATAATTATAGACGGTTTTAGACTCGATTTATTTTATATCTACATATAGTGGTGAGGGTCTATTATAACATCTGTTAATTCCGTATCTGGGGCTTACCTGAATATTGGAGGAGGATATCCGGCTACTTCACATGTAAGGTATACGGAGTTCGCTACGGAAACTAAAAATATTTCACCCCCCTCAAATTTTCGGCTTTTATCACTTCGAGGAGCAATTTTATTTGTGGGCTCTGCAATATGGAAGAAAAGCTGTCAACGCACCTTGATACTGGCACCGGAAATCCTTGTGCAGGACATAAGAGAGCCAATGGTGACTTTTGAGAGAAATGGATCGCAGCCTTTGAAATAGCAGTTATACTGGGTATGGCACTCGCAATAGGCTCTGAAGAATATAAGTTGGTTATAAATTTTTTTAATTTTGAAATAATAACCCTAACAATAATAACGTAGATTCGAATGAATTAGCAAATTTACATGATACACCTATCGATACAAAATTTACCATGTTACGATTTATGTGAGCGTTTAAGGACTTGCCTGAATATAGGTACTGGAAACGCCTGAGCTTGACACAATAACCCAAAACTTTGGTTTACAGTTCTTATGAAAGTAATACTACGTGCATCCGTCGAAAAAGTAGGCGCCTTGGAGCCAACAGGTTCTGGAGTTTAAAAGAATTAACTCAATATAAAATTATTACCTATTTAAAAGAGCTGGGACGACGCTCACTAAAGACAAGCCAGTAAAAAAGTTTATAACGAATCTAAAAACGATATATAGCTTAAGCTACATTTTTAAAGATATTAAAAATGACACCTGACGTTTTGCAATAAGTGGAGTACAAAATGACTTTCGATGTCCAAAATAATAGGATATATAACATATAATCCTATAAATATAGAATGGATAAAATACAGTATTGACTTGCCTGAATATGGGAACAGGAAAAGCTTGAGCTTGACATAACAATCCAAAACTTTGATTTGCAGTTCTTACAAAGGTAGAACTAAGGGAATCCGTAGAAAAAGAAGGTGCCTTGGAGCCAACCGGTTCTGCAGTTTAAAGGGGAATATTTGAATTGATGCTTACAAGTTGTGTCAAAATGAAACTTGCCTGAAAACTGGGGCGGGGAAACTCTGAGCCTGACAGAGGAGCGCAAAGTCCTGTTTAATCCGTTTTCTAAATATGCTTCCCATTGATTCAGATGAGAAAGTTGGAGATTTAGCACCAACCGGCTCTATAACATTTTGTTTAAATTAAACTCTAAGAAAATAAACTTGCCTGAATACAGGTACGGGAAAAGCCTGAGCTTGACAAAGTAGCGCAAAACTTTGATCCTCAGTTCTCTTAATAGAAGAAAGTGCAGACTCTGACGAGAAAGTTGGAGCCTTGGATCCAACTGGCTCTGTAGGAAATAGTGTAAATGTACATACTTCAACCTCATTAAAATATAGGAATAAACGGATACATTCAGATTTATCTGAGAAATTCTAACAAATATCTAACCAAAGACATAGGGTGAAATTATATAGATTTCATACAAATACCTATGGATAATTGAGTAAATTACCTTTAAACTACACATTTTATATTTAAAAACTTGCCTGAATATCGGTATGGGGAAAGCTTGCGCTTGACATGTCATTGAAAAAGTTTGATTCTTGTGTCTCGTAACAGCCGAAGAAGTTAAATCATTTGGGAAGGTGGGTGGTTTTGAACCAACGGGCTCTGTAGAAGAATTAAAGAATTACCTTTCATTCGACTTAACTTACCTATAAATAGGTACAGGTGACCCCTGAGCTTGACAAAGAAGGGCAAAGCTTTGACCTTTTTCTCGAACAAAAATACTCCCTTTTGAATCAGAGGAAAAAGAAGGAGCTTTCGCACCAACAGGTTCTAAAAGTATATGTTTGGAATATACATGAGAAGAATACTTTACGGATAACCCACCTGAACATTGGTTGAGGATACCCCTGCGCTTGACAAAGCATTGAGCCTCCTGAGGCTTTCTCAATATCATAATTATACGATGACGCTGAAGTAGGAAAAGTGGGTGCTCGAGCAGAAACAGGCTCTGAATAGAAAAATTATTGATGATAACTTCTTAATAATACACTCACTTGAAGATAGGAGTCGGGTGCGCCTGAGCCTGACACAGTAATGTGATTGCTTGCCCAGACAGTTTTGTGAGAGTGGTGCTCTTAAATTCCAGAGAAAAAGTTGGAGCTTTTGACCCTATAGGTTCTGTATTAAATTTAAAGTTTCGGTTAGGAGTTGTATGATACCAATATTTTAATCTTACCTGAAAATTGGGACAGGAAAAGCTTGAGCTTGACATAAAAGTGCAAAATCTTGATCAGTTTTACGAGTTATTCCAGAAAATTGGACGTCGTTAGAAAATGTAGGAGACTTAGAGCCAACTGGTTCTAAAATAAAAATTATCTAATGTCAAATATTAACTTTGATCACCTGAAAACTGGTACAGGGTAGGCTTGCGCTGGACACACCAAATCTATGCTTTGATTGAGCGTCCTTACATACCAAGAAAGTTTATCATCCGTCGAAAAAGTAGGAGATTTAGATCCGATTGGTTCTAAAATACAAATTTTTTCACTTATAAGAAGAAAATATTAGCAATACCTGTATAATGGAAAGGGATATCCTGGAGCCTAAGCTTGAAATGTGTAGGTAAGTAATCGAATTAGTCTATGAATTAATATAGCAACCACAATCACCTGAAAACTGGAACTGGAAATGCTTGAGCGGGACATGCTAGATCTAAGCTTTGACCCACTGTTCTTACATACCAAGAGAGCTTATTGTCTGTCGAAAATGTAGGCGATTTGGATCCAATTGGTTCTACAAGCGAAATTTTATTTTTTCACAGGTAATTCTAAAGAGATTTTAATAAGTACCTGTACACTGGAATAGGATATCCCTGAGCCCGACATAGTAATCCTACGTCGTGATTTACATGTCTGTTTATAAACCATGCAAATTTATCATCGGTTGACAATGTTGGTGGTTTTGATACAATAGGTTCTGTAAAATGCGCAATAGCAAAAAGCTTATCACTCTCACCTAAAAACTGGGACAGGAAACCCTTGCGCTGGACATAAAAGAGCAAAATCTTCCATAGCGGATAATTCAAACCATGCCAGTTTTGAACCGCTCGAAAATGAGGGACTCTTGGAGCCAATAGGTTCTAAAAAATTTAATTTGTGAAAGACGACATATATAATTTTAAGGCGTATTTATGAGTAACAAAATAAAAAACAGAATACCTAATGGGGAACAGGGCGTATGTCATGTATCCAAAACAAGCCAAAGAACTCACCTAAAAACAGGCACAGGATACGCTTGAGCCAAACAAAGTAAGGTAATACTGGATTTCATCGAAAACTCCAAGAATTCTATTGTTTTAGTTGGTACTTTCGGTGGGGCACTGTTAATAGGCTCTAGAACGAAATAATTAACGACCGATAAATATTTTATTACCTGGACACAGGAACTGGAAAAGCTTGTGCAGGACACAACAACGTAACGCTTTCGTTACTAATGATATTGAAGCCATTAATATTATTCACAGTAGGAAACTTAGGGGGCACCCGGCCTACAGGTTCTGAAGACAAACGGAAGGCTTAAAAAATATTGTACATGAACCTGAACACTGGGATAGGACACGATTCTGCGTAAGGTACAATATTTTTCTACAATTAAGCAGAACCAAACGATTTCGTCACTAGTTACTACTGCTTACAAAAACGTCCGAATAGAGATGCTAATCACATATAAAAACCCGTTGTCCACAAAATCAATGGAATAATACACCTCGTATTACCTGGATAGGGGAACTGGAAACGCTTGCGCAGGACACAATAAAGTAACGCTTTCATTAACACTCGCACTGAAGCCTCTAGAATTATCCATTGTCGGAAACTTGGGGGGTACTCGTCCTACGGGCTCTGAATACAAACATGATATTTTATAGAAAATGAGATTTTTATGTTACCTGAACACTGGGACGGGGAAGGCTTGAGCCATACAAAGCAACGTACTAGCACTATTGATTGTTGTTTCAGTTATATCGATCATTTTCGACGCTACTTTTGGAGCAGCGCTGCCCATAGGTTCTAAGGAAGAATATAAATACTATATATATAATAAATATATCTCAAAGATACCTGAAAGCTGGGGCAGGAAAAGCTTGTGCTGGACACAAAAGTGTGATATTGTTGATTTCCATGGCATCGAAGGCGCGACTTTTATCAGTAGAAGTAAATTTAGGTGAGACACGACCCACAGGTTCTATGAATAAATTGCCTCATTTAATCATAAAACTGACAACAATTTACCTGAAAAGTGGGACTGGGAATGCTTGAGCTGGGCATAATATAGTCAGGCTGGCGTTTAACATCGAGCTAAAACTTCTTGAACTATCCATCGAAGGAAATTTTGGTGAAACTCGACCGACCGGCTCTAAGAACATAAGATTATAAACTTACACATATTAAGTACCTGAACAATGGAGTTGGGAAAGCTTGAGCCGGGCATAGCAGAGTCACAGTGGTATTTGAAGAGTAGCTAAAACTGCGACCTGTTTCCAATGATGGAAATTTCGGAGATACCTTGCCCATAGGTTCTGTTTATGAAATTATATTGGATAAATTCAGGGAGGATGACTAATCGGCTATATATTTCTTTATCTTATATTTATCACCTTATGCAGTGTTGTAAAAATGAATCTTACCTAAACATTGGAGCGGGAAAAGCTTGTGCATTACACAAAATCGATAAACTTTGATTTGAATTGAAATCAAAAAGTCGGCTTTTTTCTAGACTTGAAAATTTTGGAGACACCTTTCCCATAGGTTCTGAAGCAAAATGGATAATTTACATAGACATTTCCAAAAGTGATGTTTGAATAAATACCTGAAAATTGGGACTGGAAAAGCTTGTGCTGGGCATTGCAACGCAAACGAAACATTATTCTTGACTCCAATCATTGTACCCATTACAACCGATGCAAATTTGGGCGAAACGCGGCCGACAGGTTCTAGAGGAATAACAATTGAGCCTCATTGTTTAAGAGATACAAAGTTCCCAAAAAATTACCTGAATAATGGGGTCGGGAACGCCTGTGCGGGGCACTGCAATGCATAAGAGTAATTTTTCCTAACTTCAAACATGGTGCCAGTCAAAATTGTTGCGAACTTGGGAGGTACTCGTCCAACTGGCTCTACAATATTTTAAAGAAAAGAATGATAGGTATCCTACAGAAGTTTACCTGAACACGGGGACAGGGAATGCCTGCGCGGGGCATTGCAATGTAAATGTCGCATCCAACCGTGTTACGAACATTGCACCCACTTGAGTCGAAGAAAACTTAGGTTGCACTCGCCCTATCGGCTCTGAGGAACGATGAACATTTTGAATTTAGGAATATCTTACCGGTTTGTGGGTGCCGGGAAAGCCTGTGCCGGACATAACACAGCCAGGTTGGCGAACACTTTAAACTGGAAACCGCTTGTGGTCTGCGCGCTAGGAAACTTTGGGGGAACACGGCCCACTGGTTCTGCGCATGTTGGGAGAAGGCTAATTTACGAGGACTGGACACCACACGGAAGTACTAAACTACGAGATGACAACTGAAATACGCCCTGTTGTCCCTAACTGAGAAGCCTTTCGTAAAATGACGGATTTAGGCGCTTAGATTTGTAAAAGGCTCTGCAGGGTACCCTATCCCAACATTCAGGCAAGGTTCAATCTTAATCAAGTTTGTAAATATAAATTAGATTATATTTACATACTTCCACTTAATTATTACAATGGATAAAAATCACGGGTTTGATAAAAAATAATTATTAATTCTACTAATTAATAGAATTGAAAAAGAATTTTAATTAAGAATTAGTATTATATATAAACTGAAAAAGTCTGTGATAACTTCAATTACAACAAACCCTTGATTTATCAATGTGATGTGATCTGTGATCATATACACATTATCTAAAATACTACTATTTTATATAATTAAATATTTAATAAAAAAACAGAGCATTTTTAGCAATACATTATTAATTTCTTTTGTAATATTCCTAAAAATAAAGTAAAGGCATGAAAATACTCTGCTGTATTTCATAAACAAGATATCCAACAGTGTCAATTAACTTTACCCACAGTGTGACAGTATTTCATCTTTGCGTTCATGAAACTTTAATATGACTTATGAAGTAAAATGACAATATAATATTTTTGTTTACAGTTGTAATTAACACTGTTAGAAAGTTAAGATTTACGCTGTTAATTCACTGAATTTATTTTGTTTGAATGTTTGCTGGTTATGAATTAATAGCGCATTCGTATGGCAGTAACATAACTTACCAGTGATGACTAAACGTCCTTTAGTTGCTGACAATCGAGTTTCTCCAGTAAGTCTGTGCTTAGTTCTACATTGGTATGATTTGTAGCCATCCTCAGGTCCAACATCACGGATATGTAATTCGCCAGATGGCAGTACCAAATATTTTCCATCTGAAAACGTTAATTCATAATTGTAGTTGTTTGAATTTTAACTAAAAATGGATAAAAGCTATTCATTTGTAAAGCATTTTAAGCAGCACAACATAAGGTTGCGATTTACTTAAATATTAATTCATGCAAGGTAGGAGGATAAAAAGGAAAGGTAGACCGTGAGGTCCATGGATAAAAGGTAACCCATTTGCAGTGGACAACCCAGCCCTATACTTTATCAGACTTATTATCTTTTAGAAAAGGACATTCTTGTCAAAAAATCGTACCATCTAACTTATCACTAGAATCAGGCTTTATTTCAACCTCTTCTTCACCCTCACTCACAATCCATGACACAACAGTGACGTATTCCGAGACAAAACTTGGAATGTGACATTTCACAATAGCTGCATTTCCTCTAAGGACATATTCTTCCATTAGATTAACAGCATACGCTTGAGAAACCACTGAAATAATACGACTCACATGAGCATTTGGATATGGGTATAATCCAATGATGCCTTAGGACTATAATCAAAAATGTGAAAAGAGTTAAATTATACAAAAACTCGAGGAAAAATTTTCTTTAATATTGTCAGGATATCCAAAAGAGTTTTCGTAAAGATCCAGTTATCATAAAATATGAGTTGAACTCAACCACAACATAAATTTCTTCATCAATTTAGATGTATGTATCACTCATATTCGTAAGAGAAATGTGGTTTTATTTATAAATAACTTTATGGGGAAATTTACTTATAGGGATTTTGGAATTAAATACACGGAAAAAGGATGTAGGAAGCTGAATGAAATGCTATCATTGTGAAAGCAATTACTGAATAATATACCTAAATCAGTGGAATCGTCTAATTTAATTTCTTTTTCTATTTCATCTTCTGATATTATCCAAGAAGAAACAGACACGTATTCAGAAACGAAACTGGGAATTTGACACTTAAGGATAGCAGCATTTCCGCGTAAAACATATTCTTCCCAAAACTTAACATCATATGCTTGGGATACGACTGGAAAAATATATTATATGTGAATTGACAAAAGAAATACACACAAAGCTTTTTTCCTATTGTTGCAAAAATATACCAACTCTGACAGCAGGAGTAGAAGGGATTTGGTAGGTGATATATAAACCTATAAAAAGTCTATACCTAATCTAATGTCTGAATCTAAATTAATTTCCAACTCCTCAGTATCGCCTTCAGAAATGATCCAAGAAGTAATACTAACGTACTCAGTAACAAAACTTGGAATGTGGCATTTCAGTATAGCCGAATTGCCTCGTAAGACGTTTTCCTCCCAAAGGTTAACAGTATAGCTTTGAGATACAACTGAAATTTATTTATATTAATGAAGAAGATCTTTTCATTCAACGCCAAACGCTATACTAAACCGAATGGACAAACGGTAAAGGAATGTTGGAGTGTTTAAAAGTACTTAAAAGTACCCAAATTATCGTATCCTGTGGTATTAATAAATTTTTCATCGATATCGCCCTCAGATATTATCCACGATGAAACAGTAACATACTCAGACACAAAACTTGGAATGTGACATTTGACTATAGCAGAATTTCCGCGTAATACGTTCTCTTCCATCAAATTAACGGTGTATGCTTGAGAGACAACTGAAAATATATACAGTCGTCAATAAGTTATGAAGCCATTAGACACGGTTAGGAAAAGGATCGGGAAAGCATTTGAATGTTTTCATAATGAAATACCCAAATCATTCGACTCGGCTTTAATTTCTAACTCGTCTACATCAGCTTCAGAAATAATCCAAGATGATACACTGACATATTCAGTGACGAAAGTTGAGATGTGGCATTTTAATATAGCGGCATTGCCACGTAATACACTTTCTTCCATCAGATTAACCGTGTAGGCTTGAGTAACGACTACAAGTAAAAATTAAGCTGGATTATGTTATTTCATTTGTTTGAACTTATGTGAACATGACTGGAATAAGTAATTAATATTAATTGGAATTTTAGGATCATGAAGTAGGAGAAGTCTATGAAATTTTCTGTAAAGTACCCTCTTTGTTTAAATCGTTTGATTGAATTTCTGTTTCATCATCTCCCTCAGATATTATCCAGGAGGAAACGGCGACATATTCCGTCACAAAACTTGGAATAAGGCATTTGAAAATAGCGGCATTACCACGTAAAACATTTTCTTCGACTAAGTTTACAGTATACGCCTGTGACACAACTGTAATATTATTACACAATCTAAGATGAAGTAACTCCATTTAAAATTAATTGGTATCACAATATTAACAATAATTAAAGGATAGGATTACATGGATGTATTTAATAGTCTCTTTTTTAACGAAGTACCATAATTTTCTGTTAATGAATATTCTTCCCCTTCACTATCGTGCCAAGAAAGTACTTGCACGTGATCAGATACGAAAGATGGAATATGGCATTTGAAAACTGCGGCATTACCACGTATTACATATATATCATAAACCTGCGACTCGTAGAATTGATTGACAGCTGAAATATTTTGTAAATAGACCTATAATTACACAAATTTTATTTATACCCTTGTGGAAAACGGATGGGGACAATTGGGAACGCGAGGGTGATCTCGATTACCATAATTGACTTCGGGGTCATTCGGCGAAAATACCGATAGCGATTCCTCGTCGGTTAACCATTCAACAACTTGTACATAATCAGCTACAAATGACGGGATTAGACACTTAACAATTGCTGAATTGCCACGTAGTACATCTTCATCGATAACGCGTGGTTCGTAATTTTGATGAACGACTGTAGATACAATAAAATACTTTAAAACCAAAGGATCCGGGGTCTTATTTTTGCTGGGAAGAATGAGGGTGTGAATTGTGGGAACAACAATTACTACCGGAGTCGATATTAGTGTTTTCATTGGCAGTGACCGTTTCATTATCCATCAACCACGCTACAACATGAACAAAGTCGGCCACGAAAGAAGGCACGATGCATTTTAAAATGGCAGTGTTTCCTCGTAAAACAAACTCATCGTTGACTCTAGCTTCGTACACTTGGAGCACCGCTGTTAGAAATACGAGAAATATTAGGAATTTTAGGAGACAAATAGACTATCTTTTTTTGCAGTTACCCTCTGCATTTCCTGGGAAGTAAGTACCACCGTCGCTGTCTGTCCACATCTCGACATAGACAAAGTCAGATACAAAGCTTGGTACTTCACATTTCATTATAGCCGCATTTCCTCTAATGACATATTCGTTGTCAGCTTCAGCCTCATACGGTTGTGATACCACTAATAAGATTAAAGGTAGAATGCTTTAGAATATGATTAAAATCATAGGAGGATATGGACAAGGATGGTTTTTAAAGTAACTAACAATTAAAGGCTGAATACCGGTCATATTTGTATTACTAATCATAAGTATTTCGCCATCATCCATAATCCAAGATTCCACGTAAACAAAGTCACTAACAAATGAAGGAATCTTGCAGTGAACAATAGCAGCGTTCCCTCTAATCACGTACTCGTTTTCGGCTTCAGTCACGTAATACTGTGACACAACTAAGGAATACAAATTAGACATTTCTTTGGAATGGATAAATGGATATTTGGAATACATATATCATGGTGGATATTTTAACTTTGGAATAATTTTTACCAAGATTATCAGTTAGCGTTATTTCAGTTCCTTCTTCGTCAATCCATGCCTCAACTTTGACAAAATCCGCCACAAACGATGGGATTGAACATTTCAAAACAGCACTGTTGCCTCTTATGACGTATTCAGTAAGGATTTCGGCTTCATAAAATTGATTAACAACTAGAAGAGTGAGAGTCCCATTTACGATGGAAGTAATGATGAAAGGAGATTTTGGACAGTTTGGATAAAAGGGCTTGGCTGATATGTTTAACTTAGTCGTACCGATATCATCGGTTAGCAAGTATTCGCCACCATCAGAGTCAACCCAAGCTTCTACTTTAACAAAATCGGCAACAAAAGAAGGGATGTTGCATTTTAATACCGCAGTATTTCCACGAATTACATATTCTGAGACTACTTCAGCTTCATAATATTGGGTGACAACTGTAAATGGTTATAGAGGCATCAATCACTCACTTCCAGTTACTTATGGAAATTTGGTTCAGGATTGGTTTTATATATTTTTTTCAAACTACTTATAAATTACCCTCTCCCTCTTTTGTTCCGTTTATAGTATATGAGTTCTCGGCTTCATCATGCCACGATATGACATTAACAAAATCAGCCACGAATGATGGTATGGAACATTTGAGAATAGCGGAATTTCCTCTAATCACATATTCGTTGTTTACTTCGGACTCATACTGTTGCTGAACAACTGTTGACAGGTGATTTTAGAACTTTTAATTTATATTTGGAATAGGAAAGAAAGGATGAGACGAAAAAACCAGCTTTAGGAATTAACCATAATTTTCGCCAGGATAAAAATCTTCTTTCTCATCGGTATGCCACGATAAAACTTCAATGAAATCAGCCACGAAGGAGGGGACCTGACATTTAAGTATAATGCTGTTTCCCATTATCACGTACTCCTTGTTTACGTCGGTATCATAATGCTGCGCGACCACTAACATATGCAATACAATTTTAACTACTTCATAGTAATTTGACGAAGAGAATCACATGTAAAGAGGTACCACTTAGAGATATGGCCGTCCGACATTAAATTGATCTTTATCAATTATAAGTGGCATACCTATTTTTTATAAGTTCTCCAACACTAACCACCTTCTATGAGTTAGTATACCTAATTGTAGACTTATTTTAATTAATACGTAAACAAACAATTATATTTTTACGAATACAAACAACGTTACACATGATTTCTGGCTGTTTTTCGAATTGGTCTTTTAAAGATCCATAAGTGATAGTTGAAGTGAACGTTAAACGATCAATTAATTAGTAGTCACGCGAAGACAATTGTTTAACGGATAGTTTATCCGTGTTAGTAACTGTCTGACTGTACGCCTGATAGGTACATTGAGCGTTGTAAACCTTTTTATTTAAAGGATCTGTGTTAATTGTTTCTAATGACGCGTGAACAGACTATTACATTGTATCGTGTTTTGCAATCGTAAAAATAGTCACGATGTTTAATGCATACTTAAACAGATATGAAACGAATTTATTTTTATTTAAAGCGATTATGTGATCATATTATAAAAGTAATAATAATAATAATAATGTTAAATATAATACAAATAGAGATTCAGTGTGACTAATATTTGTTCCATTCTTGCTACGTCATCCACACTTTTTTTGTTTGAAACATCTAATGAACGACCAAAATGACTATTAAATTGGTGTATTTAAGTCCTGGTTAATACAATTGGCTTTAATCAGCCCTTTCATTGGAAAGGTCTCGGATATTAAAACAACTTTCGTCAATTATCCCATAAAGAGAACAAATGATTGTTCAATCGACTATTTTTTTAATGAACAAATTAAACTGAAGTAAGCTTTTTACATAAATGTTATCAAACTTTTAATAAATTAAAATAGAATGGAGAAGCAGAAAAAGTGTCTGTAATTTTGGAATGACAATAATAATAATAGATGTAATTTGGTCAGTGTAGGAAAATAATATTGATACAAGTTTTTCGTATTCAAAAATATTCATCTCGTTTTCCGATTCACAGTTTCTAAAATTTATCATTAACCTTAGTAAAAATTAAATTGAAGTAAGATGCTGCGGGCACTATATTTATCTAATTAGTTCAGAAACGCGGTATCTCGTTTGTAAGACAACTCATATCGAATGTCAGATTGCCGTCACATGTGTCAATTGTATAATTATATTAATTATAGAAAATGTTTGTGGTCATGTCATGTCATTACAATAATATTTCTTTCTAGTTTTCGCGCATCTTACTAAAACTATATACATATAATTGATAGTAATAAAATTTCATATACCTAAATGCCAGTTTGTAAGGACGTAAGAATTTTGTTGAATGACACAAAAACTGCTAACTGATTTTAATGAAACTTTACAGGTTAAAATATGGCTGAAATTTATATCGCAGTTACGTGTAGTTACTACAGGATCAAGGCATAGAAGTCAAATTGAGTATGAAGTCACGTGAAGTTAACTGTTACACGTTTATCCCTGAGCCTTATTTAGAAGTTACGAGGGCGAAGATACTTGCAACAATAGGACTTACATAATTAACCGTAATCGTTAACGAAAATAAACAAAAGTCTTAAAAAAATGTGAAAATTTCGACAGAAACCAAAAAATACGATTATAGTTCATTCAAATCTTCTATGCTAAGAAAATCTGTTTTGAGAAATATAAAAAAAAGTTGCTAACGCTTTCGCTGTCACAAACTTATTTGTTTTATTGTAATTCTATATAGATTTTCAGATTTTTAGTTATGCTTTATAAGCAACTTCTCGCCATTACAATGAGACGTAAACAGCGTAACAATATAGCGTTAGGATACAATATAGTTTCATATATCAATGTCATTGTTTCCGAGTAATATTTATTGTTATAATCACATAATCGCTTTATTCTATACAAACGAAAACAAAATTATTCCTAAAAAATTTAAATTTTATTTCAATTTAATTACATCATGTGTTATTTGACTTAATAATCAAATTTAACATAAGCATGTACTAATTTTTCATATATGACATCATAGCGTTTGCTTTTGTTTAAAAAACATCAATATTTTTGTAAAATCATGATATTCTTTTGTTTTTAATCGTAGACAAACAATTCGATCAGCAGTTTTAAGTTATTTTGTTAATAAACTTATGTAACAATATATATTTCGTAATAACGGGAGTATGATCTTACCGGCTCGCACGTTCACGTCTCTGGAGTGAATGGTTCCAACCTGGTTTCTTGCCAAGCAAGCGTATACCTGAGCGTGTACTTCCTGACGATAATCTTCAGCTCTGAATGGAGGGAATACCAAGTTACCGTTCGGCAGAACCTGGTGGAAACAATTATGATCAATACTTGTATTTTAAGAAAAGGAATCTTCTTTAATCATAATTATATATTTAGAACAATTTGTAAAAATGAAAGTTATATATACATATTTAGTATAAAGAATCGAACTCCTAAATAGTTTTCAGGACCCATTAGCATCATTATTTGAGATAGAAGAAATATTTGGACCATAAAAATATTTCCTAAATACATATAGTAATCTTTGATACCTGTCTCAATCCAGGGACATCACCAACAGCGGTTCCATCAGCTCGTACCCAGATGACGTCAGGGGCGGGAGATCCTCGTGCGGCACATTCGACAACTGCTCCGGTAGTGTTGCTGAAATCAACACGATTTGGGGGTTCCTTCATGAAAATCGGTCCGATAGTTTCATCCTCGCATCGCACTGCTCCTGTTGATAATACATTAGATGTTTTAAATAAAAATAATGCCTCTTAAACTATAATTATATACAGTTTAGAAGATAAAAATTTTATAAATTCCTATTCTAAAAATAACTTACAGACCACAAGTACGATTGTTGTTACAATACGGTAAGTTGTGTTTTTATTTGTGTTCAAAAACATAATAATATCATGATACAATACAAATATAAGGATTAAAAATTATAGTGTATTGTTTTGTTCTAATCAACTAAAAAGCTGAAGCTGGAAGACGAGATAAATCAAACAAGTAAGATAATTTTCAACAAACGAAAGCACTATATAAGTTTAAACGATATATAATATAATAATTTATACGTAGTTGATAATTAACTCTAGACCCTTTGAACACCATCGATATAACAATAGCATGCATTCTCAAATGATTAGTTTCAGCGCGTGCCACACTAAAGATGACTGAGGGTTTGAGATGTGGAGAACAACGCAAGTGTCCTACTTGCGCTATTTTACGAAGGCTCGACCCAGTTGTTATCAAGCTAGGGATGTTTCTGAACAGCTTCGTGCATCGACCTAATAGCGACTAAGCTGCACCGATTAAACTCTTACAAGCTTTACATGGCTTAAATTACAGCTATTTACTACTTGTTTTTGTTTTAAGTGACCTATTATTTATTGTGCATGGAAAAGAATATTTAAATTGTGTATACATATAATGTTTTAAGTGAATAACAAAATTTAACACCAAAAAAATATATATTGTAAAATGATTGAACTTTTAACACCAAATTAAATTTAATTATCACAAAATATTTCTTAATATTAATACTACTAATATTATATAAGAAAATAATGTAATCTATGGGTTTCCTACATATTAAAATGTATTATAGACATATACGAAATAGACAGTACATAAACGAAACTAATTAATTATTATTGGAGATACTCGTATTGCTGTAATGTGTTACTATGCATTTTTTTATACTTATGTTTTATTAATATACTTAATTATTTTAATTTAATAAAAAACAACAAAGAAAAAAATAACGTTATTATCTGATACAAAATCATTAATGAGAATTTTATTCAATTAATTACATAGTTTATAAATTCTTCTACGTAGTTGTAATGCGACTGACAGCTGTTCCACTTAGAGGTGGCGTGTGCATAGAGAAAACTGACTAAGACGGAATTGTTGCTAGGAATATGTTAGACCTGATTTGATATCTCCATCTTTTTAAGTCATACTCTATCTTATTTAAACTTATAAATTAGTTATTTGTATTAAGTTAACTATATTAAAGATATCTGTTAAGCTAATATGTATTCGGTTAAAATAGAAAAATAAATAAAAACACTTTGTAATTAAACGCACATTGAAAGAATAATAAAATAAAGGAATAATACACTCAAAAATTGAGGTAAAATTTGTTTGATATCCAAAAAATTAAGTTTCATTATAGTTTGGACAACATCCCCAGATCAGCAAAAAATTCAACAAAGTAAAACCGTCGGGAGAGTTCTGTTAAGCAGATGTTGTGCGCGCGTCTGTGATTGGCTGTTCGCACGACAGATGCGCGTGCGACGCCAAAAACATTCCACACTCTAGGCGGTGAATCCACATTATTAATTGGCTCTTCCTTCATACTAAATATAAGCATTGTTATAAATCTATCAACTACTTACTTCTTTTACTTTATAACTCATCTGTAATTATTAAGTTTTACTACAAAACACTATACTGAATGTACAAGCTAAGTGGATATAAAAATGTACATAATTGATAAAATTGTTGGCACAATCATGTTAATTAATGCATACAGAAAACTAAGTTGCATATTTCGAAACAATGTGGGCGCTTTATAGAGTTGACAAATACCATGTAAGAGTACACCTGCTTTGCCACCTGGTAACATTAGTAAAGGAAATTATAATGGAATTCATATGCAACATTATTTTATATATTAAATTGACCTAAAGATAGAATTAGTGCATTTACGTACGGTTGAAACTGGTTGCGAAGGTCAGTACAACATTTTTCAGTTCAAGGGTAAACATATTAAGCGCATGGCAACTTCTTTATATGCATTATATTTAGAGTACATAAATATAATTGTTTCCTATTGTCGTGGTTTTAACATTGTCTTTAAATTGCTTCGTGCGGTTATACATTTGTGTTAAGTTTAACTTGAAATGCAATATGTAGAAGTAAGAGTTGTGTTAAATTATTCTTACATTTAGATTAAAGTTATATGTATAATAGATAATTGTGTGGGTTTGGTATTCGATCTAGAACATTATATGAAACGGACTTAGATTTAATTGTAGCAATGTTGAAATATTAGTGATCTTTGCACCAAAATTATGTACTATGAGCATCCAACGCCATAATACAAAATATGTACTGTGTACATATATATTGTACCTTATAAATATATTTTTATTATATTAACAATTTATTATATTATTAACTTTACATTAATAAAATATTTGTAGACATAAAATTGCTTTACTAAAATAGTTATTTCGATTTAATATAATATTTTCCCCGAGTGGGATTATCATGAAAAGTATATACACTATACAGGCACTAAACTCAATTCGCTTTGGTCACGAGTGCTTTAATTGAGTTGATACGTTGCATAACTTTAATTCTGTTAGTAAATTATCTATGACACATAAGCAACTATTTTATTACAGTTTAGCTATAAGAACTTGAGATATATCTACATTTTTAATGTATGTTACTTCTAGTGAAACTCAAATACTCTAGTCCTAGCGCAGACAGTGCTAGCTAGTCAATATAAATGTTACCAAAATGTATTTCGTTCGTAATTTTCTTCACCTCGTGGTTTCAAACAGAACGTTTTGAAACACTCCTTTTTTACATGGAATTAATATACATGTGTGTGTTTTCAGGTTTAAATTCTTTATTACTATAGCGTAATTATACAAAAAATACAAGTGATTGAGAAAAGCTGCTTTTTTTGTAACTCTTAAATCTAGTTTAATGATTCTATAAAACAATGTTATATGTTTAGGCAAAATAAATTATATGTATATTTACAGCCAAGCTTCGGGGTAATGTACTTAATATTAAATAAGGGCAACCTGTTTATTCGATATATTAAATTCTGGAATAGAAAATGATTTCACATTGTTGATGGAAGTAACATAATAACGTCTTGCAAATAAGCTTCATGTTACACAATTATGATTATTTTTAATAATTTATAGAGCGGTTGTATTTCAAAATAAATTTATATTATTTGATACAGTTTTAATTATAAATTACTTATTTGTATGCTTGTAAAGGCAACTTTCAAGAACTATCGATATTTAGAACTAGGATTTTTTTTTTGTATAAGGTGCTTTATCCCTTTTTGACATCTATAGGAAATATATTTGTATAAACAGGGATATGTTAAAAACGGAATTGATTTATTCCTGTCCACTACTCGACTTGTTAAGAAAATTTGCATTCAATACGTACTTGTATTTTAATTGTAACTGTTTTAATCAGAAAACACCAAATAACGGTACAAATACACGAATTCCAAGCGGATAAAGCATCATGCTTTGAATTCTGCGGAAAACATATGACGAATAAAATACGTAGCGAGACGTACTTAGTAATTTACTATGCGAAGTCTGTTCTATCATAAATGAAAATACGCACGCTTTGACATTAATAGTAAGCGTTTATTTGAATAAACTTTATACTTATGTAATAAGTTAATAGTGACAGAACTTTATACAAAAAAAATATGGAGTCATTAACCTCTGGTTAGCCCAACTTAACAAAGTTATCTCCGCTATCATTGTTTACTAACAACTGACGACACTAAAGAATTCCTTGCGGTTTAAGCTTCCATTGAAAAGGTTACGAAACTGATGCTTCTAAGTAAGTTAGTAAAAAAAATATTGTATTATAAAAGAAAACATTATACGTGCTATAAAATTAGGATTAAAGAACTTATTATGAACTCAAATTTGAATTATATGAATATATTTTATAGAATTTCTTGATACGGTGTGCTCTTATAACAAGGCTTGATAACTGCAGTCAGATCATAACTATGGTCAATTGATAAATTATATCAAGGCTCAACGGAAACAGGGTTTGATTTGATAAATAACAGCACACACTAGAGAGGTATACGGTAATCTGAACAAAATATGTAACATATATCACAAAACATATAATATATATTCCTTAAAAAAACATAGTAACTTTTAATCTACTTCATTCATTTCTGTTCATTTGTTTTTAACTATTGATGTACATTTTACTCTAGACATGAAATTTCTAGTGGTATTGTTTCTGATCTAGCTTGTGAACTCGTTCTGTATTACTATACGAGATATAGACTTTCTCTTTTATATGTCACAATGCAGACATGTTTATAAATACATCGGAAAATTTATGGCAAGCTCCGACTGGGTTAAGAACAAAAGAACTTGCAAAAAATTGGTTTTTAATAGTAATCTCTGTTTACATTCGAATAAATAGGTAAGAATTAAAATGTTAACCAATTTTCTTTAATTTATCTCAGTATGGAATTCGTCTTTAGACCTTTAAGAATTTTTATGAAAATAATAGTTATTTAAGAATAATAAAGCAATTATCTACAAGTTTGAAAAAATACCTTAAAATAGACAGACAGCTTCGACTTTTAGCTATAGAGCACTAATATCAAAGAAATTATATTTAAAATGGCCTCTATCTCCAAGTTCTTTGTTTCCGAAGTACGGTTCTTACCACAAGTTTGCATGGCTATACTAAATACGAAGCTTTTCGCGTTTCACATCCAAAAACCTAAGTTAATATTAATGGAAAACTTTTAACGCTCCGTAAGTAGAGTGATTTGCAAACTTATAGTTACTTAAGTCTAAGAATATTCAGATAATAATTATAGTTATGAATTTAATTAAATTATATAGTATGGAGAATAATGCTCAAAATAATATGTGGGAAGAAACGAATTTGAACGAAGCATCACATAAATCGAGTGTCGGTCGTGACCTTCCAAGCTTAAGAAAGGCCAATGTTCCAAGTGTTTACGTTGTAAAATAAAATCTAACCACGCGTCAAATTTATACATAACATGCTAAAATATAAACTTTATATTTTCCCTCTTTGTATTGTAAATAGACTTTTATGTACATTTGCGTAACACAAG